TTAGAACTCACATCGGCCAATCGGTGACAGCATTTAGAGGGCATCTAATGACAGGAACTGGAGCAATAACCGGCTTCACTGCGCAGGCTTCTTGTGCTCTCAAAAGCATGGCGGCAACCATAAATATAATATAATAAAAAATAAATTCTCATTAAATTGGAATTACACGACTACTGTCTGTGGCAAAAATTATATGACTATTTTTATTCTGTGAATATTTAAGGGGCAAAATCAAAATCCAGTGAAATCCAAAAGCAGTGGATTTAAATGGCTTCAGGAATTAAAAAAAAATATGATCTTGTGACCTTTGGTGTTCAAAGCCTGAAAAAAAAGAAATAATATTAAGTTTGAGTCGTGCAGGAGTTTGTGTGCTGATTAGTTCCGAGTTGACAGTCTAAATCAGATTAAAGAAAAGGTTAAGTGCACTGTTTTCATTTTGTCAGCTAATTTGCCCTCCACGCTAAACTCATGTCTCTCTGACAGAACACCAAATATTTTTCATAATCTCTTTAAATCTAATTGTAAATGTAACTGGTTAAATCTTAATTTTATTAAAACACACACACACACACACACACACACACACACACACACACATATATATATATATATATGTGTATGTATATATATGTCCATCCATCCATCCATTTTCATCTGCTTATCCAGAGTCGGGTTGCGGGGGCAGAAGACTATCGCGAGAGGCCCAGACTTCCCTCTCCCCAGCCACTTGGGCCAGCTCCTCCAGGGGAATCCCAGGGCGTTCCCTGGCCAGGTGAGAGACATAATTCCTCCAGCATGTCCTGGATCTACCTTTAGGCCTCCTCCCGGTTGGACGTGCCCAGAAAACCTCACCAGGGAGGTGTTCAGGAGGCATCCTGACCAGATGCCCGAGCTACCTCAACTGGCTCCTCTCTATGTGGAGGAGCAGCGGGTCTACTCCGAGCCCCTCCTGAATTACCAAGTTTCTCACCCTATCTCTAAGGGAGAGCCCAGCCACTCTGCGGAGAAAACTCATTTCTGCCCTGCAATCTCGTTCTTTCGGTCACTACCCAAAGCTCCTGACCATAGGTGAGGGTAGGAACATAGATCGACCGGTAAATCGAGAGCTTCACCTTCTGACTCAGCTCTCTCTTCACCACGACAGACCGGTACAACGCCCGCATCACTGCAGATGCAACACCAATCTGCCTATCGATCTCACGCTCCAGTTTTCCCTCACTCGTGAACAAGACCCCGAGATACTTAAACTCCTCCACTTGGGGCAGGCCCTCATCCCTGACCCGGAGAAGGCATTCTACCCTTTTCTGAATCAAGACATGGTCTCAGATTTAGAGGAGCTGATTCTCATCCCAGCTGCTTCACGCTCGGCTGCGAACCGCTCCAGCGAAAGCTGAAGATCACGTTCTGATGTAGCCAACAGGACCACATCATCTGCAAAAAGCAGAGACCTGATCCTCAGGCCACCAAAACGGATACCCTCAACACCTTGGCTGCACCTAGAAATCCTGTCCATAAAGTTTATGCACAGAATCGGTGACAAAGGGCAGCTTTGGTGGAGTCCAACTCTCACTGGGAACGAGCCTGACTTACTGCCAGCGATGCGTACCAAGGTCTGACCCCTGTCATACAGGGACCTAACAGTACCCCATACTCCCAGAGTACCCTCTACAGCCCAACCCCCCCCCCCCCCCCCCCCCCCAAGGGACGTGGTCAAACGCCTTCTCCAGATCCACAAAACACATGTAGACTGGTTAGGCAAATTCCCTCACACCCTCCAGGACCCCCCTAAGGGTATTGAGCTGGTCCAGTGTTTCACGGCCAGGATGAAAACCACATTTGCCATTTGCACACACACACACACACACACACACACATATATATATATATATATATATATATATATATATATATATATATATATATATATATATATATACACACACATATGTATACACTCAGCAAAAATATAAATGCAGCACCTTTGTTTCTGCTCCGATTTTTCATGAGATGGACTTAAAGATCTACAATTCATTCCAGATACACAATATTACCATTTCTGTCAAACGTTGTTCACAAATCAGTCTAAATGTGTGATAGTGAGCACTTCTGCTTTGCTGAGATAATCCATCCCACCTTACAGGTGTGCCACATTAAGATGCTGATCCCCCTCAGAAGAAATGTGGAATGCTGCTGTCGCTATGGCAACTCTGTCTCCTATCCCAGCCTGGGTGGGACTGCGGGCTGTGAAGGCCGCCGAATCGTTCCAGGAGTCACTGTTCCCTCCAAACCTCAACAACCTCCCACCCCTGTCCAGACTGAGATGACGTGCACTGCTTATCGTGGCTGCAGGCACTGATGTGTCCACCACCCCACCTAGTGGACACTTATGTTGTGTGACGTCTGAAGACTGTTGTGTTTCTGTCTGAGGTGTTTTTTTTGCATAGCAAAGCTGCCCTCCCTGTGGAGGGTAACTCTGAAGTGCCTTTTTTCCCCCTCCACCTGAACCAATCCTCATGTAAACCTCTTATCTCTATTAAGGTAGCGCGACTCAGGGTTGCGAATGACCACAGTCACAAATTCTTGTCATGTGTCCTTGCCCATGTATGTCTGATCTCTGAATTGTGTGTACTGGAACTCTAATTTCCCTCTGGGATCAATAAAGTATCTTTGAATTTGATTTTGAATTGAATTTGAAATGTCATGATGGCAAACTATTAAACCTAAAATAGTTTTATGAACCAAACTGTAAACATGTTTATTTCTGCTGTGAAGTTGGCATTTTTAACATGAGGGTCATTAAGAACTATCTCCTTTCTGGAGCCAGCCCCTATAGTGGATGAAGGTGGAAGTGTGGACCTCACGTTTCTGTTGGCAGGTGGAATTTGCCCCGTGGTTGTCCATGGTTTTTAATTTTCAGTCAAACTTGTTCCCCACTCTCACATACAAAGGCTACATTTTCTCACAATTGTGTTTGCTTAAAATACAATTTTAACAACCAAAATCTGCTGAAATGTTTAATTATTTAAAATATGTTTTACATTTTTTAATTCAACTTAATAAATTGTAAAATCTCATCAGAGCAGGAATACATTTTATTAGAATAACACTGATACTCATAAATTTGAGAAAAGATCATATTATATATAGACAGCAGTCTAAACTAGAACTTTGCTTTAATACATTACCTTCGCAGTTTGTGGTCCGGACAAGCCTTTCATTAAAGATGCCAGGCCAACTGTAAAGCTGTCAGAGCTTGTAAACACTGACTGCAAGATGACACTAGAGGCCTCCCTTATGCAGTCTTAGCAAATGTGAAGCATGAAGGTAACATTCTGCTATGATGTTCAGATCTTTGATACAATTTTGAAAAATGTGGGTCAAGAAAAAAATGGCCTCTTAAAGCTGAGGAACAAAAAAGATAGAAAGTTATTTAATTTTTGTATTTATTTATTTAGTAGCAAATGAAAAAAGTGTAAATTAATCTGTGAAATATTTGTTTAAATTCTGAAATGAAACAATTAAAAATGACTGAAGCCCTCTGATTCAAGTTTCAGCAGCATTTTGTAAATAATAAATATATCAAATGTAAATAAAATAGTTTCAATTTTTTGGGAAACCATAAATTTCTATTTATGTGACAAAAAGGGAGGAAAAACATGAAGTTCCAGTAAACAAAATACACGTAAGTGAGGTTACTTTCTGTCACTGCCATCAAAACAAACATGTTTACAGTTTTGTTTATATAGGTATGGCCGCTAGATGTCAGAAGAGGTCCACAAGACTACAGCCTCCTTTAAATAAAGGAAACTCCCAAAGAGCTGGGATTAATTTAGTCCAATCCAAAGCTTTTGAATACGAAACTTTAAACATCGTAGTGTATTTAAACAGCAATTTAGCCCCAAATCAGCCATTTTTGTTGATGGCATTTTGCAAAATGTCACCCAGTGCATTGTTCCAGACTTTTTTCAAGTGCAAACGTATTTCCTGACCTACTCAGGTCCTGAAACTTAGCCTCACTTTGTTCAGATTGCTGAACACAGCAGAGTGGCAGTCAGACAGCCTTCTCCGGAGAGCACCAGTGTTGCAGCCATCAGCAAATGTCCAGACCAGTCTAATCCTGCCACCATGCAGCCAGCACCATGGATCGTTGGCTTTTTTTTTTATTCACAGGCAATTTGCCTCAAAGAAAAGGCTGAAAAGATCACATAAAACCGGGTTCCCTGTGAAAGGGACAACCCTTTGAATTGGATTTAGGCTAGTTTTAATTCCAAGTTATTACTGCAAGACTACATGTGGTTTCTGTTCCGTTAGCACATTGGACTTGGCAAAAGAGCTTTTGTCCACCTGGCACCCTCGGCTTGGAACAAACTGCAGAACGACAGGAAAATGTCAGAGTTGATTTCATTGAATGTTTTAAAATCTAAAAAAATAAAAATAAAATAAAAAAATCTTGAGTCAAACTCCGTTTCTGTTTCATTTATATTGCTCACTGTTTTTATTGAACATTTATCATTCTTGTGATGTTCATTCATATGCTTTATTTGGGAAATTATTTGTAACAATGTGTGATGCTTGCTGCTTCCAGTCTCAATTGAAAAAAAAATAGATTTTTTAAGATCTAAATAAGATTTCTTCCTGGTGAAATTAAGGTTAAAAAAAATTAATAAAAAATAAATGAAAAAGATTAAAATATATATCATGAAATAAATGTGTGCAATAGAACCTTGTTTAATTTGAAGTCTACTTGTAGCCTGTTATGAGAAACCTGGCTAGCTGATCATCATCATAATTTATTACATGAATTAAATTTTAACATACATTTTTAACTTCTACAGCTTGATTAGTGACGAAAACTCTTAAAATAGACAAAAGAAAACAACATATTTGTTTCATCAGCCACAAAAGACACAAGTAGGCGTTATCCTGAAGACTACCAATAGGAGCTTGATGCGCTTCATGTACGCGCTGCATCGAAGCCCCGGCGGCCAATCCGAAACAACTATGCAAACGCACGCGTGAACTAACTCTTCGACCACGAGGAGATACCCGAAACGAGTCTGTTTGTCCAACTTTCTAAAATATATTCTTCTTCCATCCTTGTCCATGCCAGTTCATTAAAAAGTCACTGGTTTAGGTTAATATGACAAAAATCCTTTGGGCTTATAAATCTCTGAGACAAGGATGCATGGTTGTCAGAAAAGTGGGGAACGAGTCGGGCTGGCTGAGGCTTCAAACGGCAAAACATTTTAGTGTAAAGGTAAGAGAATAACTCGTGGATGTCGGTTTGTTTTCCTTCGTTCATAAAGATGCATAAACTTCATCTAATTCCTCAGGAGCGCTTCTACTTGCACCAAACTCCATAGAGAAATGTTTAAATTCGGGCTGTAAACAAACGCTTAAACACAAAAAAGTTATTTACGCTCGTTTTCAGGTATGGGAACGGCAGTTCTTTTATTCGGCTGCAATTTTGGCACAAAAACGTCACATAAATTAGAAGGTACAGCAAAAATATTTAGTAAAATACAAGAGAAAGTTTGGAAAAGTGGAACACGTGACTCCTGAAATAAATACACTTTTTTAACCTCATAATTAATTTTCAGTATTCTGATTTTAAAAGGTCTAGGAGTAGAGAAGTGGGTCATCTCTTTGTTTTTAAGAAGATGCTGTTTGCTGATGAGACATTTTGGACAGCTGTCTCTGTGCAGCTGTTGGACATGTGTGTATCGTCTGTAAATAACTGTTGCATCACAGTTGTGTGAGACACATGTTTTGGCAACATGTTGTTATTTTCAAGCAGGAATTTGCCAGACTTGAATGAATTTAAGTAATCAGAATTCGATTTTTATAAATTTATTTACAATCACCTTCCTTTTTTTGGGTTTTTATTATTTTTTTATGTGTGCTGCATAGAATGACAGCCACAGAGGGTCCCTGTCTCTCTCAAACACACACACACACACACACATGCACACACACCCTAGTGCACACAACAGTTGAAGAGATTTGTCTGTCTCAGCATTCGCAGCACATTTCTCAATGACCTGCAGTTTCAGCACAAAGTCCCAGTGGCTCACTGGCTGCCATCCCTCCTACACTCAAAATCTACAACACATCTTTTTTTCCCTCCTTTTTTAAAGTTTTACCTTTGGTCTGTCCAAACTCTGTTTATAAAAAGAGAATGTGTTAGTCTTGGGTGAGATTTTGCTTGTCATCTGCCAGCTTTCTTTTTACTCCCAGGCTCAGACGGCCCACCTGGTGTTGGAGGATGGCACCAGGATGAAAGGATTTTCATTTGGGCATGATGCCTCAGTCGCCGGGGAGCTTGTCTTCAATACTGGCCTGGTGGGGTAAGGAGAGAATCAGATTTTCAGGAAAAACAAATTTTCTTATCGCTTGTACTCATAACCTTATGTGCATAGAGCAACATGTTCATGGCCTTATTTGGAAGGACATCAGTGACATTCCTCATCCTGAGGTCTTTGTTTTCCTGATCCAGATATCCAGAGGCCCTGACTGACCCCAGCTACAGAGGTCAGATTCTGACCCTGACCTACCCGATTGTTGGGAACTATGGAGTGCCAAACACCCAGGAGCTGGATGAGCTTGGGCTGAGAAAACACGTGGAGTCTGACTGCATCCAGGTAAAAAGGTGCAGCTGAGACCGAGAGGTGTCGGGATTTCTAAAGAGCATAGACCTAATGTTTAATAAAACAGTAAATAAAAGTGCACTTAATGCAGCAATACAGAGTTTTCCCCCTTTCAGGAAACATGGTTGCTTAGAATCTAGACTGCTTGCATAGCTTTCTAGCAACGCCCCACTGGAACCTCCACAGCCCCGGCCAGTCTTGTGGCTGGCCAATCACAGCATGTTTATTTAGAAAAACTTACTATTTTTGTCTTCTTCCCTGCTTTTTCTAAGATGTATACCGGACTGCTCTGTTGATTGACACGTTGTATGTTAACCAGTAGCAGTTGGAGACAGTTTGAAAGACAACCGTAGATTGCTTAGACAATCAAACTAGCTCAGTGGCCTAGTGGTAGAGTGCCCGCCCTGGAACTGGGAGATAGGGGTTCATTTCCTGGCCAGGTGATACCAAAAACAAACAAAAAAAAAAAAAGGCACCCAATTGACACCCAGCTTGAAGGGGTTGGACTGGGGGGTTAAACCACCAAATAGTTCTCGAGCACAACCACCGCTGCAGCTCACAGCTCTGCTCCATGGGCATGAGTCAAATGCAGAGATTAATTTCACCACTGTGTTCAGATGACTATGTGACTTTAACTTTAACTTTAAGATACCGCCCCATGACTGAGAGCCATCAATGGGTCGTGGCGAGACTACAGGTGCTGGCCAGTAAATTAGAATATCATCAAAAGGTTGAAAATATTTCAGTAATTCCATTCAAAACGTGAAACTTGTACATTATATTCATGCAATGCACACAGACCAATGTATTTCCGATGTTTATTACGTTTAATTTTGATATTTATAGGTGACAACCAATGAAAACATCAAATCTGGTATCTCAGAAAATTAGAATATTCTAAAGGCCAATGAAAAAATGTTTGTTTCTCTAATGTTGGCCAACTGAAAAGAATGAACATGAAAAGAATGTGCATGTATAGCACTCAATACTTAGTCGGGGCTCCCTTTGCCTCAATAACTGCAGTAATGCGGCGTGGCATGGACTCGATCAGTCTGTGGCACTGCTCAGGTGTTATGAGAGCCCAGGTTGCTCTGATAGTCATCTTCAGCTCCTCTGCATTGTTGGGTCTAGCGTATTGCATCCTCCGCTTCACAATACCCCATAGATTTTCTATGGGGTTAAGGTCAGGCGAGTTTGCTGGCCAATCAAGGACAGGGATACCATGGTCCTTGAACCAGGTGCTGGTGGTTTTGGCACTGTGTGCAGGTGCCAAGTCCTGTTGAAAGGTGAAGTCTGCATCCCCATAAAGTTGGTCAGCAGCAGGAAGCATGAAGTGCTCTAAAACTTCCTGGTAGACGGCTGCATTGACCCTGGACCTCAGGAAACAGAGTGGGCCAACACCGGCAGATGACATGGCACCCCACACCATCACTGACGGTGGAAACTTTACACTGGACCTCATGCAACGTGGATTCTGTGCTTCTCCGCTCTTCCTCCAGACTCTGGGTCCTTGATTTCCAAAGGAAATGCAGAACTTGCTTTCATCAGAAAACATAACTTTGGACCACTCAGCATCAGTCCAGTCCTTTTTGTCCTTGGCCCAGGCGAGACGCTTCTTGCGCTGTTTCATGTTCAAGAGTGGCTTGACACACGGAATGCGACACCTGAATCCCATGTCTTTCATGAGTCTCCTCGTGGTGGTTCTTGAAGCGCTGACTCCAGCTGCAGTCCACTCTTTGTGGATCTCCCCCACATTTTTGAATGGGTTTGTCGTCACAATTCTCTGCAGGGTGCGGTTATCCCTAGAGCTTGTACACTTTTTTCTACCACATTTTTTCCGTCCCTTCGCCTGTCTGTTAATGTGCTTGGACACAGAGCTCTGCGAACAGCCAGCTTCTTTAGCAATCACCTTTTGTGTCTTGCCCTCCTTGTGCAAGGTGTCAATGATTGTCTTTTGGACAGCTGTTAAGTCAGAAGTCTTCCCCATGATTGTGGTGCCTTCAAAACAAGACTGAGGGACCTTTTAAAGGCCTTTGCAGGTGTTTTGAGTAAATCAGCTGATTAGAGTGGCAGCAGGTGTCTTCTATATTCAGCCTTTTCAGAATATTCTAATTTTTTGAGATACCAAATTTGGAGTTTTCATTAGTTGTCACTTATGAATATCAAATTTAAATGTAATGAACATTGGAAATACATTGGTCTGTGTGCATTGCATGAATATAATGTACAAGTTTCACGTTTTGAATGGAATTACTGAAATATTTTCAACCTTTTGATGATATTCTAATTTACTGGCCAGCACCTGTATATATTCACATATAAAGGATGGCTTGCTAGGCTAGAATTACGTATGCTTTTTAAAAGACATCTATAAAAGTGATAGTCTTGCCCTGTACTATGATATTGGCATTATGTAAAAATTTTTTTTTGCTAAACCTGCCCCCCATCCCATAGACCCCCATGCAAACTGAGTTGAGCCTGCTTAGAATTAGCCAGTAGCATTAAGCCTGATTTATACCTCTCCGTCTGCGTGGGTGCGGAGACACACAATGCCATTATGCATCGGTGCAAGGGCTTTTTGACAGGCTCACAGAGGCTGATGGAGGAATGGCCATTTTTATTTTTTTATCTGTCGAAAGTGATGGAGATCACAACCTTGTGATTTGTCGGGACTCTGCTGCCTTTAAATTTGTCAAAAGCACCGCCATTACCCCCTAAAAAAAACAAAAAAAAAACATACTTGGCGGCAGGCACGGAACAGAAGGTGAAGGTGAAGAACACCTCACCAAAAAAGTCAGAAAAACATTTATTCACCTGTTAACTAAAGGAATCCAAATCAACAATTCAAACACTTAAAGCGCTACACATTTTCCTGCCTCTAGATGGTGCCCTCTGACCAAAAAAACTTTCATATGTCTGCTTTGACCAAATCAGTAGGTTTTTAGCTAGGACTTGTTTTTAAGGATAGGTTTGTTCTTTGATGGCTGTTTAGGTGTCTGGTCTTCTGGTTCAAGACTACAGCCATGAGTACAGCCATTGGAACTCTGTCAAGTCCTTGGGTCAATGGCTGCAAGAAGAGAAGGTTTGTTTGCAAATTACCTGGTTTGATGTTGGAAGTGAACAGGACTCTTGTGTAAACAAACACTTTACTTTCCTTTAAAGGTTCCTGCTCTGTTTGGAATAGACACCAGAATGCTGACCAAGATAATCAGAGACAAGGTGATGTAAATGATAATATTGGATCTCCTGAATCCTGACTGAACCATTCAGCGGATCATCCACTCATATTCTTATGTTTCCTCAGGGAACAGTGTTGGCGAAGATTGAGTTTGACGGCCAGCCTGTAGAAATCTCAGACCCCAATGAGAAAAACCTTGTTGCTGAGGTTTCAACCAAGGTAAAAGTTTTCAGATATTAGAATTAAAAAAAATTTTTTTTTTTTGCATCATATCAAATAAAAAAACTAACAACTACCCTCAAAACTTATTTTTGTGTTGATTCTTTCACCAGGAAATAAAAGTTTTTGGAAAAGGCAATCCAATCAAAGTAGTGGTTGTAGACTGCGGCATTAAACATAATATAATACGACTGCTGGTTAAGGTGGGTTTGGAAATTAGCTTTTTGCTTATAATGAATGAATAAATAATGGTCTGAATGTGCAAAACACAATCTGTGTAACTCATGATCTTTGCTGATGAGGTGTTGACAAAAGTATTAAAAAAATTATGATTTTGGGTGATTTCACTAGAAAAACAGATTTAATGTGTTTATCAGTGGTGTAAGATGAACATTTTCCTGTGTGCAGCGAGGGGCAGAGGTCCACCTGGTGCCATGGAACCAAGACTTGCTGAGTCTTGACTATGATGGTCTGTTCATTTCAAATGGACCAGGAGATCCATCCCTAGCTAAAACACTCATCCACAATGTGCGCAAGGTATACGAGCTTCGGAGAAAATCTAATTCTAAATCAATATTTCTAACAATCTGAAAACAAGATCAAAATGTTGCTCAAACAAGAGAATTTAAAATTCATAGCCAGTTAAAAATTTTTTTTAATTACTACAAATTTCCATTTATTTATGAATTGTAAATGTGTTTATTTTTGAAGGTGCTGCAGAGCGATCGCCCCCAGCCATTTTTTGGGATCTGCATGGGAAACCAGATCACAGCTCTGGCTGCAGGAGCAAATTCATACAAGCTGCCTATGGGTAACAGGTGAACTTCATAATATCTAACCACTTTGCACTTATTTATTAAAAAAAATTCAGTCTTGTGAAGTATTGGCGTGTTTCTCAATGTCAAGGTGTCTGGCCTTGCAGGGCGATGTCTTGCGAGGCCAGGCTCCTTTCTTACGAGGACACTGTCCTTCCTTGGTCAAAGAAAACGGTTAAATGGAACAGACTTGCGTCATGTGACTGCGGCTTCCACGGCAGTCACATAACGTCACGTGACACGGGAGATAATGTTATATTTTATCCGTATTAGTTTCAATATAAATATATAACGAGCCTTTTACTTTTTAAATTGTATATATATTTGTTAAATTAAATCTATAAGTGAGTTACTGCCCACTAGCCACCGAAGCTGCAACTACTATGCAACTAACCAACCATAGATAACTTCTTTGGATCTAAAAAAACATTTTAAATTAGTTGACTTACTTTTAAACTTGAAATTTGGCCCCGAAGTAGCTGCTGGCTTCTGATACGCCGTCCTTTTGAAAATACCGTGGTGTATTGTGGGTAATTTTTGACCAAGTCTAGGCCACAAGACACCTCCCGTGTTTCCTTGCTCAGCTAGCTAAACGGCTAACAAACAGAGAACACACGCCTCGATAGAACATGAACATTGGGAACCGATTGGAACACGTCTTGGCGGCTCCCGATGACGTATCTCCTAGGCAACTGGGGCGGGGCCAAGACATCAAGGCAAGGTTCCTTGGCATTGAGAAACACCCTTGGTCTCTCGAGTAAACAAATAAAAAAATGTCACCTCTTCTTAAAGGTGTGGGACACTAAAAACCCATTTTAAATGAATTTTTATTATTATAATTGGTCACTGAGTTTTTCATGCAGGCTGAACATGAGAATAGTCTCCTACACCTATCTCCTGCATTAGCTTCTGAAAGAAAATAGATGGTAAAACTCTAGGATTTAAAAAGCCTGACAGATCTACGTCACACCGTCACTTAACATTTATGGACTCACCCATCTTGACTCATGACAGGGAAGGCTGTTGTTGGTTTAGCATCCAGGAAACAGCAGAGAACAACCTGACTAGCAGAAGCTAATGGTTAGCATTAACAGCTTCACCACATGGCAGAAGCTCCTCCAGGCTTGTGTTATTTGTGCAGATTAAACTTCAACATTGCAAGTCAGTGGTAGAGTCACGTTCTTGTTCTCCAATCTGGGGCAATCTGTCATAATATTAGAAACAGCAGTAGCTCAGGAGGTGGAGTGGGTTGTCCAGTAATTGGGTTGGATCCCGGCTCCGACCGGAGAATGCTGTTTGGGAGGGACCGGTGGCGCCAGTCAGGAGCGCCTCTAGAAATTTTTGAGAGGGGTGGCCAGATGGGCCAAAGAAAAACAGTACGTATCCAAAACAATTAACTTAAATTTTACAAACATAAACATTTCAGAAAATAAATTTCAGTTATTTAAAATGTTATTCTAAATTTAATTTAAAAATTTAATTCACCTGTTTGCTGTGTTCACAAAAAACTATGGAGATAAAAACTTTTTTAAAATGGTGAGCAGCAGAAACATGTATTTTTTTCTGATCATTTCTTTACACAATATTTATTTTAATTTTGTTTTACAATTATGTCTTGAATAAACAAGAATCAATTTATGGTTTGACTGAATAATAATATGATTTATTAACAATGGCTTTTCCAGGGGTGGTGAACAATTTTCTAGGGGTGGCCATGGCCACCCCTGGCCACCCCTTGGTGGCACCCTTGGCACCAGTGTTTGGCTGGCAGGCCTCGCCTCTGTCAGTGTGCCCCAGGGCAGCTGTAGCTACATTGCAGCTCATCCCCATCAGCATGTGAATGAATGGGTGAATGACTGTGTTTTGAAGCAACTTGGGGGTTGTAGACCTCTAAGAAGACACTACAAATACAGGCCCTTTATCACATCAGGAAACAGGACTCCAAAATCTTCCATCTGAAGCTCAGCTGTGATGTGGGTCACTTCTAGTTCCTGGAAATGGTGCACTGGTGTATCCCCCCACCCCCACGAGTACAACTTACAAGGCATTCATTTCTACCAGAGACCCCCGGACATGTATTGATTAAACAAGTGTTCTTCACCATTAAGGGGGGAAAATTGTGTTTTTTATCCTTTTTTTTCAGAGGTCAGAACCAACCAGTGCTGAATGTGATGACAGGACAAGCTTTCATTACAGCACAGAACCACGGTTACGGCATAGACAGCAAATCCCTGCCAGCAGACTGGAGCCCGCTTTTCATCAATGCTAATGACGGCACTAATGAGGTTAATTTCCCTCTCTTTGCATGTTCAGCCTTTTTGATAAGACAAAACAACATTCATGTATTTTATTTATAGTTTTTTTTAAGTTGGAATTGGATAAAAGAACAAGGTAAAGGTTGAAAATATTGAATTTAGAATCAAACAAATGACACTCTGGAGTCTGCAGATGTCTTCAAAACCACATTTTGCAAGAGTGATGTTTATTTTTTCAGTTTCTTATAAATATAATGTGCATAATTTCCAGGGCATCATGCACAACACTAAGCCTGTTTTCACGGCCCAGTTTCATCCGGAGGCTAAGGGTGGTCCCACTGACACAGAGGTAATTAAAGACTTTGATGGTGCTGCATAAAGTACCTGAATACTATACAGAAACTAATTAAAGGTTTATTCACAGGATGCAGTCAAGGTAAAATTTTTACATATTCCACTGAAATAGCACTTGTGAAAAAGATGGCCTGGAAAACTGAGGCTGTCTTTGGATAGTAGCAAAGTTTGTAACACTGAAAAAACATTTTTTACTTGTTAATTTTGGTCAATCTGAGTTTAAAATGTAGACTGAAAGTGAAAATATCCTTCTACACCTATCTCCTGCATTAGCTTCTGATAGAAAATAGATGGTGAAACTCTAGGATTTCAGATGCCTGACAAATATGTCACACTGTCACTTAACACTAGTGAACTCACCCATCTTGACTCGCGACAGGGAAAGCTGTTGTTGGTTTAGCGTCCTGAAAACGTCAGAGAACGTCACGACTAGTAGAAGCTAACCATTAGCATTAGCAGCTCCACAACAGGACAGAACTTCTTTAGGCTTCTGTTGTTTGTGGAGATAAAACATCCTCCCTTCCATTGACTCATTATATCAAAGATGCATTACACAATGGGCGGGAAAAATCATCTCTGATCCTTCACACCCTGCATTCCACCTGTTTATACCTTCTGCCTTCTGGAAGACGGTACAGGTCCCTATCGACCAAGTCAGTTAGATTCAGGAACAGTTTCTTCCCGACAGCTGTACGGTCACTAAATCAAGTCTTTGCCTGAAATGTCTATGTGTTCCTGTCATTGAATGTGGACTGTTGTGTGAAGACACAGAGATGTGAGATGTGAGCGTGCCATGCTGTACTTACCACAAATTCCACCAACTTGTGTGGCCATTAATAAATGAATCTGAATCAATGATGCAGAGCAAACAGAGTCAGTGCTGGTCATGTTGCTAATAGCCAATCAAAGACAAGATATCCAAATATCAGGAAACAGGCTTCCAGATCTTAACGTGTTCCACTCCCCACTCTTCTGGCAAACTTCTACTTCCTGAAAAAGGAGTGCCAGAGCTGTTTTCCCTCAGAGATCATCTCACAAGGTGCTTTCGTACTCGGTGTTCGGATTCATCTGCAGGAACTAGTGTTTTTGAAATTTGCCGTGAATCAGTAGTAAACAATCAACAGCATTGATGCCCTGTACATCTTTAGTTTGATACTTTTATCTTTTTGCCCCAGGGCAGCTGTAGCTATGTTCTTGCTCTTAACCACCAACATGTGACTGTGTGTGTGTGTGTGTGTGTGGGTGGGTGGATGACTAATTGTGTTGTAAAGCATCTTGGGGGTTCTAATCCATTCACATGTACCCTTTTTTTCACCACCACATAGACTTTGAGTTTGAATCAGAGTTTTGATCCTTGCAGCTGTTAGGTAACTTGGTGCCATTGAATGTGGACTGTTGTATGTCAGTGATAAAAGGCAGATCATTATTAACATGCAACATTTTCTAACCTTTCTCGGGCTAATCCTAACAAATTGTTGATTTTTAAATGTCCTTTAAATATGTCTATTCATAAATCAAATTTTGTCTTCAGTTTCTTTTTGATGCCTTCATTTCGCTGATCCAAAAAGGAAAGGATGCTAACATAGTGTCAGTCATGCCAAAGAAACCTGTCCTTCCTCCAAGACCTCAGGTACAGCATGTTGCATTTAATAAACGTCTGGTTTTAGGTGCTAAGAAAACTGTACTCATGCTATCTAAAAGAGGAGATGTTTAGTGCTACACAGTTGACTATTTGTTGTTGATGCAGGTTTCAAAGGTACTTCTATTGGGGTCTGGAGGTCTTTCTATTGGTCAAGCCGGAGAGTTTGACTACTCTGGATCTCAGGCTGTCAAGGCCTTGAAAGTAAGAGCATGTCCTCACAGCTTACTCCACAGTAAGATCACAGGGAGCTGGTGTCTAAGGCCCTGTGCACACAGAGCAGGGTGTTATAAAACAGAATCTTCGGTCCATACCACCCTATTTTTAGAGAAAATATCTATCCACACCTAAACACATAAGTGTGTTGTTAAGCTTTTTTCTTAGGCGTGCCAAACCTGTAGGTGGCAGTAGTTCCCTAACTTCAATCCAATCAGAATCACTCCGTTTCTGTGTCAAACCCACAAAACATGAAACAAGTCCTCTGCAGAGAGCAATAATGGAGCTTGTTAGAACAAACAAGAAAAAAAGCTCTCAGACCATCGATAATGCCAACACGGTATTCATGCTGTTTGAGTTTAAACACAGGTTGCACATGTGAAGTCCCCTAAAACCTTTGTTACTTGTGAATGTTCACTTTGGTCAGGGTTTTGGAAAGATTTGTTTGTGTTGCCATATATCTGAGCTTTCGTGTGGATGACGGGCCAAATCATAGAAAACTCTGACCCTGCTATGTGTGTTCAGGGCCTATGTCTAGCAGTCATTGGACACGAGGAGGAGACACCCTGAAAGGGTCTGCAGTACATCACAGGGCCACACAAAGACAAACAACTGGTCATAAACTCTTCTCAATCACACCAAAAAACAATAAAGTGTCAGTTAATTTGACATACATGCTTTTGGAACGTGGAAGGAAGTCGGGTTACATGAAGAGAACCCATGCATGCATGGGGAGAACGCGCACACTCGGCATATAAAGGCCGCGGCTGAGACTTGACCCAGCAACCATTGGCTGCAAGGCAGCAACTATGCCATCGTGCAGCCCAGCATCATGATGCGCTTTGGGATATAAACAGATTCTTCTTGAGTTGCATTGGATTAGCTTAAGATGCTAAAATCATTATTTTATAATAATCTTTTTACTCTTAAAAGTAAAAAAACAACCTTCAACCACTTCTGTACTTGGTGTTCAAGATTCTTTCTTTCATCACCTTTGATTATTTTGTGGAAATGCAGGAAGAAAACCTGAAGACGGTGCTCATGAACCCAAACATAGCATCTGTACAGACCAATGAGGTCGGCTCCAAGCAGGCGGACTCTGTCTACTTCCTTCCTGTTACGCCACAGTTTGTGACCGATGTGATTAAAGCTGAGCGTCCAGATGGGATCCTGCTCTCCATGGGTGGACAAACAGCTCTCAACTGTGGTAGGTTGTGTCCAGTTGTCTTGAAACTGATCTTTATTCATGGAAAATGCTGAATAATTGTTTGTAAAGTAAGACATCAGGTTATGTTGTTGATTATTTAGTCATTTTCCACCCAATGGAACATGCAGTGTTTGTAAATGCATTAAATTAAACAAGTATGTGTCCACGTGAACTTCCTTTCAGGGGTAGAACTGTTCCAGCGGGGGATTTTGGAGCAATATGGGGTGAAAGTTCTTGGAACTCCAGTGGAGTCCATCATGGCTACAGAAGACAGGCAGCTTTTTGCTGACAAACTTATGGAGATCAATGAGAAAATCGCACCCAGCGTTGCTGTGGAGTCGGTACTGATCCAGTTTGGTTGATCAAAACTTACATAATTGGGAAATGCTGTAAATAACACATGCACATCTTTCAGGTGTCTGATGCCCTAAAGGCAGCTGAGCAGATAGGTTACCCCGTCATGCTCCGGTCGGCCTATGCTCTCGGAGGACTGGGATCAGGTCTATGTGCTGACAGAGAAAAGCTGGAAGAAACGGCCAACAAGGTCAGAATAAACGATGCACGGTGAGGCATCTGGGTACAACCATCTATACAAAGGAAGATTTGCTGTTGCTAAGATATTTTATTGCTTTTTTGTGCTCATATATATTTATTTTTTCATTTTTGGCTTTCAGTTGGTTATAAAATGTGATTGCAGGATACAAAATGAGCTGTCTGAGCCAGACTGCACACATTTTTCTTTGTTTTGCTGTTTTGATAGTTTTTCACAGATAATTATGCTTATGTGCACACAAATTTGATACAATCCACCATAGATCTGTGTGTGTGTCATCATGAGTTTCACAGTTTACCTTGAATTTAGCATATGTTTTTATCTTAGAAGATTTGCTGGAAATAAACAAACTTAAAGTGAGAGGTTTCTTATGATACATGCATAAACTCTGCCTTAAAGCTAAACACAAGCACATTATTTACTCTCACTGAGGTACCAATACTTGGTAGGAGGTATTGGTCATAGTTTTAACGTGACAGGTTTATGTTAAAAAAAATGAGGGCAATCTGAGCTGCCATGTTGGATTTGGAAAGTTCAGCCTCAATTTCTATGCTGCTTTTGTAATAATGTGTGTTTATTGTAGGCTCTGGCCATGAGCAGTCAGGTTCTGGTGGAGAAGTCTTTACTGGGCTGGAAGGAGGTAGAATACGAGGTGGTGAGAGACGTGGCTGATAACTGCGTCACTGTCTGCAACATGGAGAACTTTGATCCCCTGGGCATTCACACAGGTACCAAAAATGCATCGCATCCATTGCAATGGACCGTGCTAATGGACTCAACAAACCACAGAATGCTCTGTTTGCTTGGCTTTTTGTAAATGATTTAAAATATGAAGATTCTACCTAAAACCGTCAGTGTAGCGCCCTCTTCAGGTTAAAAGTCTGCACTACTATTCTTTCTTTTGGTGCATTTTTCAAACAGGAAGTGTGGGATAAGACTGGCAGGGTGGTGACTTGGCCTTTAAAATTGTTTTGGTTGCATTTGTTATTTTTAAAATAAAAAATGTATTTAATTTAAAGGCGAGGTTCACTGAGAAACGTCTAATTCTTGTTATTTTTTTTAATACAATCAGCACTCTGAGTTTCACATGCAGGCTGAATGGGGAAAGCAGTCTGCTACCCCCGTTTCCTGCATTAGCTGCTGAAAGAAAATCAATGGGGGAACATTCAGGTCGGAGAAAGCAGCACTAACCTACACGTCACACTGTAAATTAGTATTCGTGGACTCATTCATCTTGGCTTCTGAATGGGGAAGGCTATTGTTAATTTAGTGTCCAGGAGAGAGCAGAGCACATCTCGGCTAGTAGAAGCTAACCATTAGCATTAGCAACTCCACAACACTGCAGAACTCCTTCAGGCTTCAGTTATTTGTGGAGATAAAACATCAACGTTGAAGAACAAACAGAAGAGTGGCATTGTTGTTAGCCAATCAGAGGTGAGATGTCCAAATATCATGAATAATAATGAGTAAGACTCCAAATCATCAAATTTTCTGTTGCCTACTCCAATGGCAAACTTATACTTCCTGAAACGGGAGTGTGAGACCTTTTTTCCACAGAAAACGATTGATTCCTCTCACTCAGCCCTTCACTTGTTCTATAGGTGACTCTATAGTGGTCGCGCCGAGCCAGACGCTGTCCAATGAGGAGTACCACATGCTCCGTGAGACCGCTATCAAGGTGGTGCGGCACCTGGGAATTGTGGGTGAATGTAATATTCAGTATGCTCTGCATCCATCGTCATTGGAGTACTGCATCATTGAGGTTAACGCTCGCCTCTCAAGAAGCTCAGCTCTGGCATCCAAAGCTACTGGGTGAGAACATGCATGTGTTGTAGGTCATCACCACCTCAGAGGTGCTAAATGCTTCTAACTGTAAAACAAATGAGTCAAGAGCTTGCATCTTTACTTCTGCAGTGGTCAGACACAACACCTGCAAATTTAGTGTCGTTTATGAGGAGAAAATTGTTCCTTTGGGGTAGAGAAATTCTGCTTGTGCACAGGAATATCAAAGTTTCTTAGCTGAATTCAGGTCAGACATTTAAAGGTGTCCCCCTTGACTATTAGAGCATTGCTTTAGGGTCAATGGTGTGCCAGAAGGGACAGCTCCAGACCCATTCTTAGTCCTCTCAAACACCGAAAGGTACCATCATTTAATAATGTAGTCTAAATTGAACAATTTCTTTTGCCCCACTGATGAAAGGAAAAAAAAAATCTGCCCTGCAGCACCTCTGGGTTTCACTGTGGGGGTGTGTGTTCTTGAGTAGATGAGGGATGTTTCCACAGCGTTTTCATTGATGGCCAGAAGGTTCTATTTTAGTTTTATTTGACCAGCATACCTTTTTTTATTTTATATCGGGAGTCTCATGATGCTTTTAATTAATTTTGGTTCATTTTTCTTTAGGCAATAATATTTTTCTGGTGTGTCCTCCATAAAGCCTACTTTTATTGAATGTGGCTTGAAGTTGTCCTCAGGACAAACGCTTTCATTCCTACTGTGGGTGGACCTTCTTTGTGGCTAGTTTTGGTCTTTTTGTTACATCTGTGAAGTCTCTCTTGAGTCCTAACCAGTACTGATTAGGTGGTACTTAGTTGGATATTTAGTTTGCAACACTTTAGACAACCTACCTTTTGAATCAGCTTGTTAAAATAATTCATTCTAGGATGATGCAAAAAATAGACGTTTAGATGTTTTCATATATTTGCCTCTGTCGTTCAGTTTTAATGAGCAAGGTCTTGCTTTCGGCACTGCCTCGGTAGCCATTGTGTGACATGAGTAATCAGAAATGAGCGAATTGTATTAAACACAGCGAACACTGATTTGTAGACACAAGAGGGAAATTAAATGTTTAATTCCCACATTTTTTAAAATGTTTCATCAATATTTTTTCATGCAGATTATTCTCATGGATGTTTTCAATTAGTTTTTATGCACTAACATAGCTTAATCTAGTTGAGACTTCTCCAGGATTTGTCCAGCTGTAAAAGAGACTCATTGATTTAAACGGGACTGCATCAAGGCACAATGGTAGCAAGAGTGTTTTAATAGAGGTCACATGCTGTCAGGAGCCTGGGATTGCATAAAGAAACTAGATAAAGCTGTTTGAAATATATCATGTCGCTGTACAGCAGACATAATGAAATGTGTAGGATTATCTGAAACTTCTACAAAGCACCTGAATTTCTGGGGGATTTCCACTCTAGCAGTAATATCTTCTGGGTGGACGTTTTTTCTTGCTGAATCACACTTTTCACTTAGGTTTAGAAAAGTATTGGGATTATGTATAGTTCTTTGAGATAAACTGGAATGAGTCAAAACATTTCTCGTCTTGTCCGACCTGTTCAAAAGTTAAAAAAAAATGGCATTGGCCCTTAAAATCAGAACCAATGCAACACCTGGAACAAATATGTAGAAAATTAAAGAACAACTTCACTGCAAAAACTTTGAAAAATATATAATTTCTGATCAAAGTTGGTGTCTAAATCTTTCTTGCAGGCTGAACGTGAAAATAGCCTGCTACACCTACAGGGGTGTGAAAAACTATTTTCCCCCCTTCGCGATTTCTTATTCTTTTGCATGTTTGTCACACAAAATGTTTCTGGTCATCAAACACATTTAACCATTAGTCAAAGGCAACACAAGTAAACACAAAATGCTGTTTAGAAATGATGGTTTTTATTATTTAGGGAGAGAACAAAATCCAAACCTACATTGCCCTGTGTGGAAAAGTAATTGCCCCCTTGTTAAAACCAGTGTTGGGAGTAATGCGGTACAAAAGTAATTAATTACTGTAATGCATTGCTTTTTGCTGTAATGTGGTAATGTAAGGCATTACAGGGAAAGAAAATGGTAATATTTACTCGGTACAATTGTCAGTAACGCGGTAATTACAATGCATTTTTAAACCCAGAATCAAGATGTGTTCCTTAAAAATTCAAATTGCGGGAAACCCGAAGAAAGATCCAGTATCTGCATATATTACGTCATTTATGGACTCAGCTTTGCGGGCAGAGAGGACGCAGCGGTAACGGCTCAACTACTCCTGCACGCGGCCGCTGTAACATTCACAAAATCGCTCCACTAAAACAAAATAATTCACTTGTGATCGTTCATATCAGCGCATATTCTCTGGTATTTTGTGCTTTTCTGACGTGCTTTGCCTCAGCTGAGTTCATAATCTGTGCCCCGGTGATTTCAACTCATTTCTGCTGGAGCGCCGCGCATGTGAAGATCCCTTTGGCTGATCGTTAGAAAGTAGGAAGTCTAGGAAACAGTTTTTCTGGAAGACGGAGAAAACATGCAACATGAAGGAAGGTTAGAGAGAGAAAGGGCAGGAAATTATTCAAATAAAATCAAGAAAAAAAGAAAAAAGTAGGTAGATTTATCCCCAATACACATTTTTACCAGTGAAAAACAATAATATACAAGCATTTAATATTTATATATGTGATAGAGTCAGATCACCCCAGAAGTCAGTCCTACATCCAGGGCCGTATCAAGGCATTTGGGGACCAAGGCAAATATAGGCTTGGAGCCCCCACCACCTCACTCCCTGTTCAGTTAATATAAGATGGCAGCGTGCTGAGAGTAGAGATTGTTGTTGCTTTTATTTAATAAACAATCATTTTAAAGCACTGTTATTACATCTGACTGTTTTTAACAGCAATCCTAGCTCAGACACCACATCACCTTCCACATATATGTCATGAACTCACTGAGCATCACATTACCAGATTCATATTGAAGTTGTTTTGGTGAAAGTAACTTAAAGTAATGCAAAAGTAGTGTAATGCCTTACATTTTAAAATCAGTAATATTGTAATGTAATGAATTACTTTAAAATGAGGGTAACAAGTAATAAATAATGCATTACAGTTTTGAAGTAACTTGCCCAACACTGGTTAAAACATAACCCAACTGTGGTGTTTGACACCTGAGTTCATTAGCAACTTTACCACACAGCAAAACTCCTTTAGGCTTGTGTTATTTGTAGAGATAAGCATTCTTGTTGTAGAGCAAACTGTCAGTGGTAGAGTTGCTTTTAGCCAATCAAAGGCAAGATGTCCAAATATCAGGAAATTGGACTCCAGAGCTTCCAGAGCTTTGTTCCCCCCTTAGTAAGACTTACCAGGCATTCACTCCTAGACCACTGCAAATGGATTAAAATATGAGTAAAGTAGATATTTAATTAAACTCAAAATGTCTTTATTAGAAAAAAATTCAATATCGTTATTGTTTATCTTGTACAACTCATATTCAGAATAACATTTGTTCCACGTCTGATTTTGGTCCCCCCCCCCCCCCCACCCCCCACCCCCACCCCCGTTGTTTTTATTTCCCAGGTACCCTTTGGCTTTTGTAGCTGCCAAGCTAGCTTTGGGAATTCCATTACCAGACATCAAAAATGCCGTGTCAGAGAAGACCACTGCCTGTTTTGAGCCCAGTTTAGATTACATCGTCACCAAGATTCCCCGCTGGGACCTCGACCGATTTCAGGGCATGTCCCTGGAAATAGGTAGTGCCATGAAGAGTGTCGGAGAGGTGGGAAGGATCTATACACATTCACTCACTCACTCACACACTCACTACTCACCCACCTATTTTTTTTTCTCCATCCTCCTTTGGATTCAGGTGATGGCAGTAGGCCGGACATTTGAGGAGAGTGTGCAGAAAGCCTTGAGGATGTGTCATCCATCTGTGGATGGCTTTGTTCCCCGGCTGCCACTCAAGAAAGCCTGGGGCAACACCCAGAACCTGCAACAGGAGCTGGCTGTGCCCTCCAGTACCCGTATTTTCTCCCTTTCCAAGGTGGAAAAATCTTCTAAAACATCAATAATGAATGGCACTAATACCATTTGCTCATTAAAAGCACATTTTGAAGTGTTAATGCATAAAAAGTCCCACTCCCTCCTGCCTGATTTGCTATGAATGATTAATTGTGTGGAACAGCTCGTCTTTTGAAAGATTGCCTTTAGTTGAATAGGCAAACCGTATGAAAACACATATGAACAGTTTGATTATTTTTAAGTGAGCTGCAGAGATGAATCTAAAATAAAAAAAAATGTTTTTCAGTTTTTTTGTGTTTGTTTCAAAGCATCAAAAAAATGAGAGGCAGCTTGATTCACAGGGTCAGCCTCGATTATTAAAACAAAGATTTATTTTTTTGATCGGTTGCAAAATGAAAAACATGTTCAAGTTCATCGTTTCAGCTGGCTTTTATCAAAAGGAAGCAAAATGATGTTGTGTTGCTGCCAAAACCTCCATATTTGTGTGTTTTTTGTCATGATGGTGGATTCATTCCTCTTTTAAAATGGAATGGGAGCATCAGATAGCAGCTCAGCAGTAAGGATTAATAATCCTCATTTTATCTCCGGGCAATCAAGCATGCTACAAGGTGGTCAAGTCACTCATATCTAACCTACTTTCTGATCATTTTTGTACATCACTGTAAAATATCTGTGCTTTCTCTATTATGTGTGCTTAAAAGCAAAAATATAGCATAATGGAGGGAAACTAATTAAATGTGTCATCGCTATTTTTATCTCACGCTTAAAAGCGACGGCATAAGCACATTTCCCGATCGCTTGGTGCGTTGTTTGATTTGTCTGCCACACTAAAACTTTCAGAATAAGAGCAATTTTTACCTGCGCTGTTTTCCAGATTAATGACACAAGCTGGTTTAAACATGGCTGTGTGATGGATGAAGGGGAATTGATGGACAGCATTGGTGATGTCCTGTTTTCCTTTTTAAGGCACTTCATAATGGGATGAGTGTCGACCAAATCCATCAGCTGACGGCTATTGATAAGTGGTTCCTTCACAAGCTCCGCAGGATAACACAGCTGGAGCAAAACCTTGGGAACTACAACAGGTGACACATAAACACGCAAAACCTTGAAAAACTAATGTTGCAGTGTTGGGGAGAATACTTGTAAAAGTGTTTAGTTACAGAATACTGAATAGCTGCTTTAAAATGTATTTTGTAACGTTTTCTTTTACTTTGCTTAATCCTACAGTAATCCTTCCTCTGGGTTCCATTTTTAGAAAGCATAATATTGCTTTTCATTGTTTTGCAGATGATTTGCTTATTTAGCTGTCTTTACACGTAGGAGCTGACTCTCTTGCTGTGTTGATGATCTGCTTAAATGATGCTAAGCAGTGGATAGCTCTAAATTTCTTCAAACTAAATGAGGAAAAAAACGAAATTGTGGTTTTTGGCTGCCCAAGATCTCCATAGCCTGTTGCTCACCTCATGGGTCCACTGGCACCTTACTGCATGGACGTAGTTTTCACTTTAGAAGTGCAGGGGACCTGGGGGGTGGGGGTGGGGGCTGGGGGTGGGGGGAGTGGTATCTTTACAGTATGTTCTAATTGGAAACAGGCTTATACACAAACGGTTGTTTTCCGCTTGGTCCTAGAGCTCAACCAGTGTCAATTTAATGTAAAGTAATATTGTTTTTGGATGTTAAAATGTGCAGGGGTCAAAACTTGACTTTGGAAAAAAAGGGGGGGGGGGCATGTCCCCCCCCCCCCCCCCCCCCCCCCCAAATTACGTCCATGCCTTACTGTAAACCTAATGTTAAAAGCTTGGGGGTGTTTACTGATAGCTATTTGAAATTAACAAGGCAAGTCAGTGCAGTGGTTCAGTCCTGTTTCTTCCATCTGAGACAGCTTGGTATGGTGAAGCCCTACCTCCCTCCAAATGTGTTTGAACAGGTGATTCACCTCTTTATATCCTCTAGGCTGGATTACTGCAACTGTTTGTACTGTGGCCTTGAGCAGTCCTCCATACACCGTCTGCAACTGGTTTAGAATGCAGCTGCTTGTCTATTAACACACACAGGACGTAGAGAGCACATGACTCCAGTTCTGTAGTCACTGCACTGGCTTCCTGTAGTGTATGGGATCCAGTTTAAACTGTTGTTCATTTTTAAGTCTACATGGTTTTGCCCCTTCTTATTTATGTGAGCTGTTAACAATCTATGCCCCTTCAAGAGCCCTGCGATCTGGTAAGTCTACTCAGGATCTTCTGATGGTCCCAAGATCTACAGTCGTGGCCAAAGGTTTTGAGAATGACACACATATTAGTTTTCACAAAGTTTGCGGCTAAACTGCTTTTATAACGTTGTTTCAGTTGTTTCTCTGATGTACTGAAATATGATTAAGAGCACTTCATATGTTTCAAAGGCTTTTATCAACACTTTTTGTTTGTCCACCCACCTCTAGAGGATTGACCACAAGTTGTCAATGGGATTAAGATCTGGGGAGTTTCCAGGCCATGGACCCAAAATTTAAATGTTTTCATCCCCGAGCCACTGAGTTATCACTTTAGCCTTATGGCATGGTGCTCCATTATGCTGGAAAATGCATTGTTCTTCACCAAACTGTTGTTGGATTGTTGGAAGAAGTTGCTGTCAGAGGGTGTTTTGGTACCATTCTTTATTCATGGCTGTGTTTTTGGTCAAAATTGTGAGTGAACCCACTCCCTTGGATGAGAAGCAACCCCACACATGAATGGTCTCAGGATGCTTTACTGTTGGCATGACACAGGACTGATGGTAGCGCTCACCTTTTCTTCTCTGGACAAGCCTTTTTTCCAGATGCCCCAATTGGAAATGGGCTTCATCAGAGAATATGACTTTGCCCCAGTCCTCAGCAGTCCATTTGCCATATTTTTTGCAGAAGATCAATCTGTCCCTGATGTTTTTTTGGAGAGAAGTGGCTTCTTTGCTGCTCTTCTTGACACCAGGCCATCTTCCAAAAGTCTTTTCCTCACTGTGCGTGCAAATGCGCTCACATCTGCCTGCTGCCATTCCTGAGCAAGCTCTGCGCTGGTGGCCCTCCAATCCTGTAGCTGAATCCTCGTTAGGAGAAGATCCTGGCGCTTGCTGGATGCCCTGAAGCCTTCTTAACAAGAATTGAACCTCTTTATTTCAAGTTCCTGATGATCCTATAAATTGTTGATGTAGGTGCAATCTTAGCAGCCACAATATCCTTGCCTGTGAAGCCATTTTATGCAACGCAGGGATGGCTGCACGCATTTCTTTGCAGGAACAATGATTTTAAGCATCACCCTCCTTTTAGCATGTCAAGTCGGCCATTCTAACCCAATCAACCTGATATAATTATCTCCAGCCTTGTGCTCGTCAACATTCTCACATGAGCTATCGAGACGATTACTGAATTGATCTCAGCAGGCCCTTTAATGACAGTAATAAAATGCAGTGGAAAATTTATTTGGGATGAAGTTAATTTCCATGACAAAGAAGGACTATGCAATTCATTTGACCACTATTCATGACATTCTGGAGTATATGCAAATTGCTATTATAAAAGCTTAAGCAGCAACTTCTCCAATTTCCCCATATTTGTGTCATTCTCAAAACTTTTGGCCACGACTGTAAGCTGAAGTCCCGTGGTTATCGGGCTTTTTCTGTGGCAGGCCCCAGACAGTGGAACGGACTTCCTGCACATGTTAGGGCTGCTCAGACTCTGAATCATTTTAAAACTTTGTTGACGCATTTTTATGAGCTTGCTTTTAATAAGGGACAGAGGAGGTATATTTTCCTCTTAATTCTGTTTTAGTGCCATTTTATATTTTACATTAAGGCTGATTTTAGCAAATGGCCTTCATCCAGAATTGCCCGAAACATTTCATCTTGCAAATTTTACTTATTTGTTTTTAAATCTAGTGTCATTGTTGTCTGCTTCTATTCTTTTTTTATGCTGTGAAGCACTTTGGTCAGCAACACCTGTTTTTACATGTGCTACATAAATAAAATTGACCTTGACGTTATTGTAAATATTTAGCATATTTCCCCTTTAAAACACCATTTAAGTCTATTAAATGCATTGGTAGCAACTCCTGCAGGAAAACAGGGCTGTACTGACTAGATAAATAAATAAAACACTTTAAATATTTGTTTTACAGTGGTCCCTCGTTTATCACTTGCATTACGTTCTAAAAAATAACCTGCAAAAGGCGATATCTGCAAAGTAGCCAGCTTTATTTTTATAACTATTGTAGATGTTAAAAGATTGTAAAACTGCTAACTACACAATTTATTCACATTACTCAGAAAGCCATTAACATTTTCACACTTTTCTCTCTTGTTTAAACAGTTTTTGACAGAAATTACTTTTTTGTTTGTTGCATTAAATATCCTCGAATATTTTATTAAAATATTAAAACTAAACTTTTATCTTTTGTTAAATTAGCATTTACCTCAATATTCTACCACTGATGCCCAAAAAAACCTGCAAATGATGATTGTGTAAACCAACATTTACACAGAATAAAAGTGGATTTAAAGGTTTTTACTCAGAAAACTCACAAAAGCTCTTGTCTCTTAACATTTCAGTATCTTGCTTTGGAAAGATTTATCTTTCCTTAGCTGTCTTTGTTTCACTCTCTTGCCCTCCGGCTCCTCCCTGGATGGCTGAACTCAAAGCCGTGGTGAATTATGATGGCTCAGCCACAGGTGACCTGCTGCCTTCTTATGATGCTGCTATTTAATATTTAATTGCTTGCTGTTTGGTGGGCGCTCACTGCAATACCCAGACACACAAAGGGTTGTTGTAGTCTTCACTATGTCTGATGCAGCAGAGAGTATTTGGCTGCTGTCAAACTGTAGACATCAGGCTTTGGGATTCTGCACACTGCAGTCTGTGTTGAATATTTATAATACACATTTTTTTTCTTTAGTAAACATTAGACTTTTGAGGGGGGGGGGGGGGGGGGGGGGGTCATCTCCAGCAGTCTTCGGGCAAGCAGGTAGGGTACACCCTTGACAGCTTGCCAGTTGGTCGCATTTTCAAAATATTTTCATTAACCCTCCCACTGTCTTTACGTGGACCCAAGGAATAAACCATCAACCCTGCTCAATGGTCAACTTTCCTTGCGGGGTCACACCCATTAGGACAGTGGGAGGGATAAAACCATTTCACACACATACACACATGCATGTTAAGACACACAGCTCTGCCAGGACAGGCTGCGTTCCAGACAACAGGTCTGTCACCTAAATGTTTCCTGACAAGAACAGAACCGGACTCTTTGGTATGTTCTTGCTGTGTTCAGTTTCAAACTGCATTTTTGGTTCTTTATTAAAACACATAAAATGTTTCTTTTTTACCTTGCTGACAGTTTTGTTTACCGGCTGTAAACTTCCTCAGAGCTGACGCTGATGGTGGCGTCATTTCCTTCTCAGTTTATCCGCGGGCAGCAGAGGAATTGTCGCCCTCTGCTGCCTGCTCTTCCTTCACCGAGGACACAGTCAAGGGATGACACAGTCAAGGGATGACACAGTCAAGGGATGACACAGATCCCTTCACCGAACCAAAATGGCGGTTAGAACCAGACTCCAAATAGAACATGTAAATCAACTTCCTAACTGATATTTCCAAACCACAAACAGAACATAACTTTCTGTCTGTTTCACTAGTCAGTCCGGATCTGGCTTCACTTCCTGTAGTCTGAGCTGAAAACACACGATTTGGGCACATAGCAGAAGGGTAGAGGGGGGAGAGATGGTCAGAGGGCAGTTTGATGAATGGATCAGAATCCAGTCATTGGACGAGGTTTTTCCATTATTTTATATTTCAGAGGTGAATAATTTTTTTTTCATGACAAAATCTATAATTTACTAGTTGCCATAAGTATGTGAAGAGCACTTCAAGCTATATTGGAAAATATTGGTGGTGAGTTGGATCAGATGGCAGGGGAAGATGCCGCGTAGACCTGGCAGACCCAAACGCATAGTGAAGGCTGGGAACGCTTGGCAGAAGAACCTGTCAAGACGGTCTTCAACTCCCACCTCTGGCAGAGCTTTGACTGCGTCCTGAGAGCAGTGGGGACATTGAGTCCGAGTGGGCCTTGTTCCACTCTGCGATTGTTGTGGCGGCTGTTGCTAGCTGTGGTCGCAAGGTGGCCGGTGCCAGTCGTGGTGGCAACCCCCGTACCTGCTGGTGGACACCAGAGGTTCGGGGAGCTGTCAGGCTGAAGAAGGAGGCCTACAGGGCGTGGCTGGTCTGTGGGTCTCCGGAGAGAGCAGACAGGTACCGGATAGCCAAGCGGGGTGCAGCAGTGGCAGTTGCCGAGGCAAAATCTCGGGCGTGGGAGGAGTTTGGTGAGGCCATGGAGAAAGACTATCGATCGGCGCCAAAGAGGTTCTGGCAAACTGTCCGGCGCCTCAGGAGAGGAAGGCAGCAACTCGCTCACACTGTTTACAGTGGGGATGGGGAGCTGCTGACATCAACTGGGGCTATAGTCCTGTACAGGACCTGTTCCCGGTGAGGGTTGGACTCCTCCAGGGCTGCCCTTTGTCACCGGTTCTGCTCATAACCTTTATGGACAGAATTTCTAGGCGCAGCCGTGGTGTGGAGTGTGTCGAGTTTGGTGGCAGGAGAATCTCATCTCTGCTTTTTGTGGATGATGTGGTCCTCCTAGCTTCATCCAGCTCTGACCTTCAGCTCTTGCTGGGTAGATTCACGGCCAAGTGTGAAGCGGCTGGGATGAGGATCAGCACCTCCAAATCTGAGACCATGGTTCTCAACCGAGAAAGGGTGGCTTGCCAACTCCGGGTCGGGAGGGAAGTCCTATCTCAAGTGGAGGACTTTAAGTATCTCGGGGTCTTGTTCACGAGTGAGGGTAGGAGGGATCGGGAGATCGACAGGCGGATTGGTTCGGCGTCTGCAGTGATGCGGACGCTGAACCGATATGTCGTGGTGAAGAGGGAGCTGAGCCAGAAAGCCAGGCTCTCGATTTACCGGTCGATCTACGTCCCAATCCTCACCTATGGTCATGAGCTTTGGGTAATGACCGAAAGATCGAGATCGCGGATACCAGCAGCCAAATGAGTTTCCTCTGTAGGGAAGCTGGGCTCAGCCTTAGAGATAGGATGAGGAGCTCGGACATTCGGGCGGGACTCGGAGTAGAACCGCTGCACCTCCGGATCGAAAGGAGTCAGTTGAGGTGGTTTAGGCATCTGGTCAGGATGCCTCCTGGACGCCTCCCCGGGGAGGTGTTTCGGGCATGTCCTGCCGGCAGGAGACCCCCGTGTCGACCCAGGACACGTTGGAGAGGTTACATCTCCAATCTGGTCCGGGAACACCTTGGGGTCCTGCCGGAGGAGCTGGTGGAGAGGACGGTCTGGAGCTCCCTAGTTGGGATGCTGCCCCCGCGACCCGGACCCGGATAAGCGGAGGAAGACGACGACGATGATGCTCAAGGAAAACATTTTCTGCATCTTCCAGTAGAAATATCAAATGCTGCATTCCATACTGGCACTTATGGATTATATGGAAGACATACACAAAAATAAAATAACTTGAAATGGAATGCAGCCCCTATTTGTACACTTGTTTTCCTTTCACCGTCAAGTGATTATTTTTTTCATCAAAATCATCAGATATTATTATTCTTTTTTCTTTTGCACAGAAGACATGAAACCTCTACACAAAAGACGTACTCTTATATTTAAGTCAGACATTCTGCTCTCCTCTCTTTGTTTTCTTGGCTTCATTTATCTACTTCTTTTGTTTATGTATTTATTTGCTCGGCCAAGTGCACAGGGAGTCTAAACACACTCGATATTTCAAATATTATTTTGCTGTGAGGTCATAAATTATTCAGATGAGAGGGAGGGAGAGCAGCTTGTGGTTTAACAGTTTAATTCCTTTCTGTGGTCTCCAGCCCGGGTTAAAGGCATCCTGGCTATGTTATGAGAATCGTTCTTGCTGTGTGAAAGCAGGATGATATTATCAGGGCCAGTTTGATTGCTATGCATTCAGATAATTAGTCTAACTTGGACTTGGTTCAGAAAGCAAAGGGAACTTGTGTCAAAAAAGTCTTATAGTTATTTGTTGCACAAACATCTCTTTAAGGATAATTAAGTGTAGCTATTTCACCTTTTTAAGAAGCTATAATAACTTTTACAGGTTGGAGAAACTAGGAAAAAACATTCTGATCAAATAAATTACATATTTACAAATTTAAGCACCAATCTAGTTAAATAACATCTGCTTTAAAACTGTCTTGCCTTTTCACTCAGTGGTTCAGTCCCCAGTAACTTGCTGTTGAAAGCCAAGCAGGATGGCTTCTCGGACCAGCAGGTTGGTCAGATTCTTGGCTGTGATGAGAAAGCAGCCAGAGAGCTGAGGCTCACTCATGGCATCAGGCCATGGGTCAAACAGGTGAGCATCAGATCCTCCCAACAGACATCAGACCAGCTGCAGTAGCACATTTTATTCCCTTTGTCATAACGCAAATATACAAGTTAAACGGTTGAAGGCTTTTTAAGTGTTTTTAAAGAGTTCTTATTTATTCTGACTGTTTTTAGATGGATGATCTGTGTAAACTTTCTCTTTTCATAGATCGACACCTTAGCAGCGGAGTATCCAGCAATGACAAACTACTTGTACTGTACTTATCATGGTCAGGTAGGCTATGAGAAAAAAATATATATCTTGATCTGACAAAAATCTGTATTTGTAAGTTTTTTGTCTTTATAATTTACCAATTTCCATTATTTCTTGCATAATAGCTAGTTATTCATAGATAGTTATCAATAATGTCTAATTAAGATGGTTTTGTCATTGTGTCCACTTAGGAGCACGATGTGGACTTTAAAGATCAGGGAATCATGGTTCTTGGTTGTGGACCTTATCACATTGGTGAGTTTAATGATAATTAATTGAATGCCATATTTAATATTTTATATATCCCAAAATATTTAAATGACACATCATATGGTAATAAGTAAATGCTTTGTTTCAACTGCTTCATCCTCTAAAGTTTCCAAAGAATGTAGAACTTTTCATCCAGTGCATTAAAAGTTAATTATTTTCAATTTTCTTGGGAAAACTACACTGCAAAAAGTGATTTTCTGCAGACAGCACTACTTGAAATGAGATAAATATTATTATGTAATATGTAACATGATCCATTTTTTTGTTTTGAGTAAAAAAAAATTGCTTGGCTAGGATTTTAAAAGTGTGGTTCACTGAAAAGCCATTTTAATAGTAAATTATAGATTATTAAAACAAATAGACGGTGCAACTCTAGGATTTAAAATTCTGACAGATGTACATCATACTGCCAGTTAACATTGATTAAACGAATGGACCACTTATTTAAAACTATTAAAAGAAAGTTGGATTTATTTGCTAGTTTTAGGAAGTCCTGCCAAGCAACTTTTGCTTACCCAATTGGCAGATTTTTATATTTCACTTATTTTAAGTATATATATTTTTTGCATATACTTTTTAGGCTAATCATAAGATTAAAACATTTAAATACAAGACTTTCTTACTTTCTTATAAATCAGTTTTTGCAGTGTACAGCATTTATGTTGCTTTAAAATTCCTGCACACTCTTAACTTGTGTGCTAATTCCATTTTTGCACTGTTTTGTCTACCAGGTAGCAGTGTTGAGTTTGACTGGTGTGCAGTGTCCTGCATCAGGGCCTTGAGACAAATGGACAAGAAGACGGTGGTGGTGAACCACAACCCTGAGACAGTTAGCACCGATTTTGACGAGTGCGACCGTCTTTACTTTGAAGAGTTGACCCTGGAACGCATCCTTGATATTACCCAACAGGAGGTAAGGACATCACTGCTTCTGTGTACGTGTCAACACCCAAAAACAGGATATATAAATCTATAAGCATGGGTGAAGCTTTACACAAGGGTTCTAGCATTTTTCTGCCTTGAGTTGAGTTTTAGTGCAGTAATATTTAGTCATTTTCCTGAGTATGTAAATCCTAAAGTCATAGATCAAGCCTGAGTTATCGTGGACCTTTGACTGAGCAGCATCCCATTTTCAGAGGCAGACAGGACAAATAATGCCCAAACTGTTTCATTTTATGTTCATTTACTCCACTGAGCATACGGACCTATGCTCCAGGGTTAAATTAGACTGAAAACCAGCCAAAAACTAAAATCAAGAAAAAATGTTGCTGTTTGATCAAAATTAAAAACACATTAGACATTTATTTTACAATTCATGTATTGATTTAGTCTGATCTTCCGCGTCCTCTGACCTTCCCGGCAGATCTGCTGGAAAATGTTTTCATTAATGTGACTTTTTTTCTGTTGAAATGGGAGGACATTTATTACAATACGAATCAAACAAGAAATTTTTCCTTAAAAAAAACAAGATTTTCCCTTTAATCTGTAAATCTCTGCTCTGTATTGTTTCTATCTACCTTTTTTATTTACTTATACTTTTAGCTGATCATGATGATTTTAAGATTTGGCGTGCAGCCTTGTTTTTGGGTTTTACATCTTCTGCAGAGGGATTGTTTTCCAGTTGTGACGGGGTCAGCGTCTGATTAAGTGTGTTTGTCAGGGATGTACTCTTCCCATGTGTGTGTGTGTGTGTGTGTGTGTGTGTGTGTGTGTGTGTGTGTGTGTGTGTGTGTGTGTGTGTGTGTGTGTGTGTGTGTGTGTGTGTGTGTGATATACAGCATTAGAGCATGGAGATAACCCTTGGACAGGAGTAAAAGAGCAGGTCCATGAATAATGAAGAGATGCAACCTAGCATTGCCATGGAAACAGCATCCCTCTAGGATCACCTAGACAGGAAACGGGGTTGCACGCTGATATTAAAAGATGTGTTTACATTTGGTCTTTGTCTCATCTTGCACAGGGTTGTGTTTTTGGCTTTAGAGGGGAGAACATTCACTCACATTCATTTCCTGATGACACTTCAACCTTGAAAATAATAACCTCTTACCCGCAATGTTGCAAAGACATTCATTTTCACGTTGTGTTTCTTTTTTACAACATAATTTGACTGACATATCTGCGGCAGGGAATCTCGCTGTGCCTTATTCATGTGATCTTATTTAATTTAATTAATTTATTTACTTATTTTTTTTACTTATGCACTGTGTTCTCCTGTACAGGGTTGTTGCGGTAGCATTGTGTCGGTGGGAGGTCAGATTCCCAACAACTTGGCAAAACCATTACAACTTAGCGGAGTGAAGATTCTCGGGACGAGCCCCCTTCAGATCGATCGAGCTGAGGAACGCTCCATCTTTTCCAGCATCCTAGACGACCTCGAGGTGTCCCAAGCTCCATGGAGGGCACTGAGCTCTCTGGTAAGAAAAAAGAAATCACCATCATTCCTGACATCTTTATTTAGTAAGTTTGTGTTAAATAAAATTTAGAATCATATATTAAAGTGAAAAACATCATTTAGGGCCTTTTCTAACCCCCATTACCTTTTTTAAAACTTCTCTACTTTTAACTGTCTCTCTTTTTTTCTGCCAATTCCAACTTGTTCTTGTTTCCATGAGAATGAGAACTCAGTGGAATAATGTGGACTGCTAAATTGCAGCATGTCTGCAGTTACTGCTAAAATATGCATTTTCCATTTCTTTTGGTCATGTATCGAGGTACCACTAAGGACCGATTATCTGGTACACACACAGATAAGTTCAGTGTGTCTCTGCAGACTTTTACCTACATATTCTATTTCCATGCCGATCTTGAAGAGGTAGTTTTGCTTTTAATGGGCTGGAATAACTCCAGCAGAGCCGTGGGGAGATGGCTCTGGGAAGCTATTTTGTGTTTATAAATGGGACTTTACCTGGAGAGGGAACGGTGGGTAATGATTGAGGGAAGAAGCTAAACCTGAGGAATGATGAAGCTGGGAGAAAGAGCGGTGATGAAAACGATGATGATAAGAAGGGAACGTTTTTTTTTCCTCTAAAAGCTTCCACGGTCTCTACAGTTACATCTTTTATAAACTGAATATGCAGAGAGAAAAAGAGTCAAAATTGAGAGGAATTAGAGAAAGCTGATGTTAACAGTTGAACTTTTTAGATTTGCCCTTTTCTTGGTGGAGAGTAGCTCTTAATTCATGTGGGTTTTCAAAATGAATGTGATTGAATTGAGAAAAGGCTCAAAAGAGCGGGTGGGGCGTTATAACAAGGAAATGACGGAACTTAAAGGGGCATTGTGGAAGTTTGACAGCCAAAACATGTATAGAAATAATAAATTTCTTCTTCATACATTCTCCTGCAATGCCCTGGTCCTGTAGAATGAGCCCTGGCATTTTTACTGTGATTGCCTGTTTTTCTGTAAAATCACAGAAAAAGAGAGTTGAGCTGAGCTGCTCGGGTCGAACAGGCTGCTTCATGCGCGTTCACGCTCAGGCATCGCCCGTAGCATTTGCTATCAGTAGCTTTAGCAGCAGAGAGATAGGTAGTGCCAACTCAGCGACTTTGTCGCTGTTCCTAACGCCTAGTGATGAACCTAGCTACATTTCTGAGGACCCTTAGCTACTTTCTTCTAGATATTTCGTGCAAATTAGCAACAAAATAGCCATTTTTGCTCCGAACCATTCTTTGAACGTTGTTTCAGCTGTCATTTAGGATATAAAAGTTACAGATACCAAAAACATCAGTGGTGGTTTAGCTCATCTAGTTAGATGTCAGACTCTTGTGCAGGAGACCCGGGTTTGATTCTGGGTGAGAATTTTTAGAGTTTATTTTTTACATTAATGGTATATTTTTTTTACAGTAAGATGTCCACATTTTTATTTGAGACTCGCTGAACGGCATTGAATTCACAGATAAAAAGATGTGGGTTCAACTTTCATTTTGGAACAATTTTTGAAGCTAATGGTCTGAGCATGCAGGAGGACTGACCCATCTTAAACCTTTGTCAGCTGTGCTGAAGAGAAAGGTACAGAACCAGATTATTTAATTAATTAGCTGCGCGGTCTCCTGCCCTCTGTCCTCCGGGACACACACACACACACACACACACACACACACACACACACACACACACACACACACACACACACACACACACACACACACACACACACACACACACGGGACTGTCAGCTCTCAGAGCTCTGTGAAGCTGATCCCCGTCAGCTTCACAGCTTCGTCTCAGCTGTTATTTTCGTTAAGGAGTGTGCACGTACAGCATGCACGCCTCGTGCACGAGCCTCCCATTGAAGCTGCCGTTACGCTTTTGGCCAGAGGGGGGCAATCGCGAGCATAAAAATTCAAAACTCCGTTAAGTCCCTTTAAGGGCACATTTAAAAAAAAATCACAAGTCTGACGTTGTTAGCTGTAATCACGAAAGAAGGGAGAGGGGCTTAAAGGAGCAATATGTAAGAAACCTATAGTCCAAAAAATAAAAAACCACAAAACATTCATATATCTCAATCATGTCGGAAGGAAGGTTGTTTTGAAACTTAATTCATTCTCAGCCAGTTGGAAATCTTTGGAAGTTTTTCTCCTTCCAAAAAAAAAAACCAAAGGGACAAAGTTACTGTGCGTTTGTGAGGATGCCGTGTCTGAGCCAAGCTAACGCTACAGCGCTGGCGTTTGTAATTCCGCACTGGCCAGCAAAAAGCTCCAGAGTTGTTTAAAGAACTGAAGCCAATAAACAGGAGTGAACCAGAAGTTATTTCCTTGAGAAGTCGCTGCATCTTTTGGTTTTACTCTATTGAGCTAACAACAGGGTTTCCCCCAGAAAATGGGTTAAAGAGCAAGTCACCCCCTACAAGAAACACTCCACTCCCACTTCATGTTTGAAAAATGCCAGACCGAGAGGGTGGGGCCACTAACAAATACACACACACACACACAGGCTCACAACGGCATTGTGACATCATAATGTACCAGTTGACATCATAGCATACCTCTTAGCCAATAGCGGTGGCAGATTTAAATTCAAATACAGTGCAGAGTTTTTACCTGACGACGGCGCAACACTGACAGTTTTAGGCAGAAAATTTAAATTTTAACTAAGATGCACTGAAGTGCCAAATTATTGACTACACGTGTCTACAGGGCAATTAGACACTCATTTATTTCGTTTATCAGCAAAAAAAGTTGATTTGGGGGTGATTTGCTCTTTAAGCTTGGCAGCTTTGGCCGTCGGGGTGGGGGGGTGGGGGGGTGTTCCTCTGTGAGAGCGAGGGTGGGGTGGTTGCACACGTTCCGCTGCTGTTTCTCACTGGTATTGGCTGATGGAGGGCTCTAGTTTCGCTGCGCCGTTCGTGTCAGCGGACACGGTAAGGTCGGGGAGGGGGGTGGGGCATGACACTTAGCCGTAATAAGTGCTAAAACCAAATATGACAAAGTAATGATCTACTTATCAACTTACCATACCATACCAGTTTATTTATCAAGGTCTTTTAAAAACGGCATGTGAGCAGACCTAAGCGCCACACAGGTGATACAGTAATCATGTAACATTAACAAGCCATCGCAACAAATAATAAAAAACCTACTGTGAGTCAACTTCACTTGTCATCTTGTCTTCGGGTGCTGAGCCCTCACTGGCAACAGCAATGAAACTCACAGACTGGCAGGGAGAAAGTAACTTTTTGCTTAGCAAAATGGCCTGCACTGATCAAATTTGACCACTAGATGTCAGTATTCATTTTTACGCACTGCACCTTTAAAGGTGCAATACATTTTTACTTCTCTAGATGTCGTCTTTTGAGACAATGACTCCAGATTTCTGCATTAGGCGGTCAGTTCATCAAAATGTTATATTTTCTTCATTGACACCACAAAAAATTCTGATGTTTGCTTTCTTTATTGCCCTAAAAACATCAAATGATCTTTTTTTTAAATTACTGATTAATTATTTTTGGGGTGAGGAAATAAGAACATTTACACGATTGTAGATTATCTTTTGCTGCTCAGTGTGATCATTTTTAGATGTTGTTTTGACTTGTGTCCTTATGTGTGACCCGTGGAACCTTAAAAAATTGGTTTTGCAAACTGCAACTTCTAAGAGTTTTTGCATTTTATACAGGCTTTCTGCATGCTTGTCCTGCGTTTTCAAGTTTGGACGAGTTAAGATCTTCAAGTTGCACTTCCTTTATTGTTACAAATTACAAGAGTGTGTAGCCTGTGCGAAGATGTTCTCCCTCTGGCACCAAAACACACCCCAGCAGGAGAATGTGATCTGATAGGCAAAAACGAGGACATGCGAGGGCTTTGTAGATACTCTGATTTTCCAGGGCAGTTATTCATCTCGTGAGGACGGTGGTGCTGATGAAAAATAAGTAAAACAATTCTGAGGTCTAAAAAACTTCCACCTGTCGTTATTTAGCTGAATTTGTACAGGACTTCAAAAGAAAAAGAAAATATTGGTGAAGTTTTTAAGGGGAAACAAATATAAATAAATAAATTCAGTATAAAATGCTGTAAATTAAACAAATTAGATCTTTCTAGGCTTACCTTAATGTCACACCTGTGTGCTGTTCACTCTTTCAGGATGATGCTTTTGCATTTGCCAACCAGGTGGGCTACCCCTGTCTCCTGCGGCCCTCATATGTTCTTAGGTAAGTTTTTAATACTTAATGTCTGTCAAAATACAGTCTCAATTCATATGCATCATAACTATATACAAGCAGTTGTCTCAATTTTGGCATGAAAAGTAAACAAATGTTTTTTCTTTTAGGCTGCGAGAACAAGATATCAAATATTAAAACAAAATCAGCTCAAACAAATGCAAGAAAGAGGCTTGAAATTTTACAGCCAATTATCTAAATTTATCTTTTAATTTGTGATAATTAAGGATCGTATCGCATGATGAAACCCTGCAGTAAAGCTTCTGCCCAGCAGATGTCAGGAAGACACCCTGAATTCAACAGGACCCTTGGTGTCACTGAAACCTCATTCATAATGAAAACTCAACAAACTATAAAGAAAAAATGGAAGAAAAAAAATCTGATAATTCATCATAACCAAGCACATTTTAGTAAAACGGTTCAAATGCTAACAATTGCACTTTTATTCAGGCTTTACTAATTTAGATTTCACTTTTTTACAAAAAAGGACAAAAAAACCCTCATCTGAAATTCTTAGATCAGTGACGCAGAAAGCAGATCGCTTCCAAGACATCCGTGTGCTTTAACTTGAATGCAGTCACGTCGCTGGTATTCAAATGAAGGGTCAGTATTCTTTTTGGGGTGGGGGTGCACAAACGTCTGCCTTTGAGCCACAAACACAGAAGGAGTGAAGATTTGACAGCAGCCCATGGCCTCACCGTGTCCTGTTTCTCAAACCCGCTCTTTCCACACACCAAGATAAACCAGATAAAATCAAAAACAACAACAACCACAACAAATCTAGCCTAAATCTGTTGTATTTTTAATGATGAAGTTCTGAACTCATTTTCAAGAGCCTGAAGTGCTTTTCGACCTAAATAGCTGTTCTTCTCCGTTACTCTCTCTCGCTCCTTATTTTGACTGTTTCCAGACCTTGCTCCCTGTGGTAATGGTGATGCAACAGAGAGATAATGAGTGTTTTGAACAATCATTTGAAGCTTGCATCTTCTCCTGTTGGCTCGCTGCTCCTCATCTCCTGTGCCCTCTTGTTTTCCCTCCATTGTTCTCTCTCTCTCTCTCTCTCTCTCTCTCTCTCTCTCTCTCTCTCTCTCTCTCTCTCTCTCTTTCTCTCTCTCTCCCTCTCTCCGCCGCTCGTATCCCACCAGTGGCTCTGCAATGAACGTTGTGTATGGAGAGGAAGAAATGAAACGCTTCCTGGAGGAGGCTACACAGGTTTCTCAGGTGAGACAAGCGTTAAAGCCAAGTGAACATGTCTGCACACGTGAGATGGACATTTTGCCATCGACCTCCTTTCTTATGTCTCACCTTTGTGTTCTCAAATTAGCAACGGTCTCTCACGAACACGCAGACAACTTTTTCATTTAGTGTCTACCGCTTACAATTAAAGCAGAAGCCTCCAAATGCACCGCCTAGAGTAAAAAAATGTATTGCACCTTTAAGCCCTTCTCCCTGCTTTTGTGAAATTTACTGAAAACAATACCTCTCATTTGCGAACATGCACCTCTGCAATTACGATAATAATTATTAACAATTATTATTCTCACGGTATATATATATATATATATATATATATATATATATATATATATATATAAATATATATATATATATATATAGCTGGCCCAAATGGCTGGAGGGAGGGAAGTCGGGGTCTCCCTGCTTAGGCTACTATCCCCGCGACCCAAGCCCGGATAGGCGGCTGAAAATGGATGGATTATATATATATATATATATATATATATATATATATATATATATATATATATATATATATATATATATATATATATATTCTCACTGGCCACTTTATTGGGTACACCTTGCTAGTACTGGTTTGGACCACCATTGCCTTCAGAGCTGCCTTAATCCATCATGACATAGATTCAACAAGGTAATGGAAATATTCCTCTGAGATTTCGGTCCATATTGACAAGATAGCATCATGCAGTTGCTGCAAATTTATCGGCTGCACATCCATGATGTGAATCTTCCGTTCCACTCTCCTCTGGCCATTCTCCTCTGACCTCTGGCATCAACAAGGCATTTTTGCCCGCATAACTGCTGCTAACTGGATGTTTTCCCTTTTTTGGACCAATCTCTGTAAACCCTAGAGATGGTTGTGCGTGACAGTCCCAGAAGATCAGCAGTTCAGGCTCAGACCAGCCCGTCTGGCATCAACAACCATGCCACGTTCGGCGTCGCTTAAATCACCTTTCTTCCCCATTCTGAAGCTCAGTTTGAAATGCAGCGCATCGTCTTGACCATGTCAGCATGTCTAAATGCATTGAATTGCCACCGTGTGATTGGCTGATTAGTCATTTGTGTGAACGAGCTGTTGGACTGGTGTACCCAATAAAGTGGCCAGTGAGAGTATACTCGAATAAAAACAGTTTAATGCCGGGTGCAATTACTTCAGACTTCAGTAAGATGTGGTATGCTGTAAGTCTTGGTTGGTACAAATCTTAAGTAAAATATAATTTTGAAAAAAGAGTGACATGACTTCAAAATGTTTTAGAATTTTAATGTGTAAATACACAAATTGCTAATGTCACTATAAAAAATAAAATTCAAAGCTGAAGAACAGAGCAGACTGAAAAACGTAGTACTCAAAAAATAACCTTAGTCAGATTGGGTTAAATAGACTCAAAATGATGCTAAAAATGTCCGTTTTTTCAGCATTTGGCTGTGAAAAGACAAGACTGCTGTGGTACATATTAGCATTCACAAATTATTAATAATCTTCCTGCTGCATTTTCTCCAGCAACACCCTGTGGTCATCACCAAGTTTATACGTGGAGCCAGAGAGGTAGAGGTGGATGCTGTGGCAAAAAATGGAAAGGTAATATTATTTTCATTAACCCTTTAACATATGAAATGTTATTTTAAGGATTTTTTTATTGTTTTTTTTTATTAATTATATTTCTTCAGTTAAGCTCAGTTCATTCTCCCCTAAGCTTAAGGGAATTAAATATAAAATCTTTGTATCTTCCACATAGCAAGTTAATTAATATGTTGATTCTGTTCACAGTTTCATAGTTCTTGTCATATTGCATTAGAATAATTGTAATTTATTTAAAAAAAATATTCCAAGTGTTATTTTCTGGTACCGCCGACGCCTTATCTAAAACTACTTTACTATGACACAAAGCTGCACAACTTTCAAACACTGTTGCTGGTTTGGCACGATAACTTGCTGTAGGTGACTTCCTGTCTGTTTTTTTTTCTTTTGTTCAGACTCAGAGTCATTTCAAGGGTGTCACATTGTACGTGGGCTATCCAGTTCTACGGTAGATTTTCTCACTTTGCCGTCTCTGAATAAAGCTCCTCCTTTATCTCCAGTATCACATTAACAAGCCGTCCACTCGGTGAATACCAAACAGCCCTCATTACGTGTGTGTGTGTGCGCGCGGGTGTGTAAGAAAGTGAAAAAGTTGGAGATAATACGTATTAATTACAGGCTCTATCTGAAGAGCGCTAATGAATGCCGCGGTTAGCAGCCGTTCAAATGAGCTAATGACACGGCGGCTCATTTACAGACACATTCACACACAGTTGCTTGGTGATTCATATCTCTTCTCCTTTGGGTGGAATGTGCAGAGTTATTCTTTTGACTCTGCACATCCATTCACATTTTTTTCTTTACCCCAGCGTGCTCTAAGGTAAAAGCGTGCGTATTACTTTTGCCAAGTGTTTTCACTCATAAATGACGAATCTAATAAATCTTGGACTAGAAGGATTTAATTGTTTCCCCCTTCTTGAATGAAAAATGTCTTCTGTGTTATTATCGCCATGTTTCTGTCCAGGTTCTTGTCCACGCCACAACGGAGCACGTGGAAGATGCCGGGGTACACTCAGGTGACGCCACCCTAATGCTCCCAACCCAGAGCATCAGCCAGGGAGCTCTAGAGAAGGTTAGCGGGGTCACGTTGACGTTTTATCATTTGCATGCGTCCATTTTCACCAACACAGATGACACGGAGAGAAACAGTCTCTTGTTGTGTTGCACAGTTTCCCCACTGTTGTCAAAGATCTTCTAACAAGCAGTAGTTAAATTTATTTGGAGCTCATTGCAGATATGCGCGGCTTTCAAAGAGTTATGTAACAGAATGTTTTGGATCATGTTTGAAGGAGCACTTTTGTGTTTTACGTAAGTAAAAGTTTAATTCTATAATATGTGGCACTGAATAAAAACTTAGAGGAATTAATTATTGAGCCACCACTATACACACACACTTCAAAGTGATTATAAGTATCTAAGGTATTTTGATTTTATTTTTTCATGCAAAACAAACTACAAGGATGTCTGTGCTCAACATATAACTTGGGTTTATTTGTTTATTTTTTATTTTGCTGTTAACAGGAACTATAAAACAAAAATGTGATGCAATTAACAGATTTTTTAAATGAAACTTCTTAATCCCTTTACTTGTTGCGCACAGATTCTCAGCTAGAGGTCAAGTTTGAAAGGGGATTTCTTTAAAGTGCCCATTAAATGATCAGAACGTGTGTGTGTGTGTGTGTACTCGTCTATACATCAAAGTTAGGACCAATGACAAGCTTTTTACCTGCAAACTGAGGACATTAGAAGAAGAAGAAGGAAATATCATTTCTATAGCGCCTCTCAAGATAAAAATCACGAGGCGCTTCACAAAAACAAAAAATATAAAAATTGTAAAAATAGAAAAAAGCATTTTGAAAATGTTTAAAAATATATTTAAAACGAGCAAGAATAAGCAATTGGGATTTAAAAGAAAAAATGTTAAGAAAGAGTGAGAGTGTATAGGAAAGAGGGAAATCAGTGGATCCTGAGGAAGGTGGAATAGGTGGGGAGAGCAGAATAAAGAGAGAGTGGTGAAGAAGGTCATACAAAAGCCAGCTTGAACAAGTTAGTCTTCAGCTTCTTTTTAAAGGAGACCACTGAGTACACTGATGTCAGGCTCAGGGGGAGAGAGTTCCAGAGTCTGGGGGCCACAGCAGCAAATGATCTGTCACCTTTGACCTTTAGCCTGGTGCGCTGCACAACCAGTAGGCTTTGATCACTGGACCTCAGGGACCTGCTGGGGGTGTAGGGACTAAGAAGATGACCAATGTAAGATGGTGCTTGTCCATGTAAGGCCCTATAGACCAGAACCAGGATCTATAAATGAACCCTGAAGTTGACTGGCAGCCAGTGAAGCTGGGGGAGAAGCGGGGTGATGTGGGTGTGTTTGGAGGACTTGGTCAGAAGCCGAGCACAGGCATTCTGAACCACCTGTAGACGGTTCAGGGAGGTTCTGCTCAGACACGTGAAGAGAGAGTTACAGTAGTCTAAGCGTGAGGAGATGAAGGTGTGGAGAACTGTCTCAAGTTCAGAGCGGGACAGAATGGGACTCAGCTTAGCAATGTTCCTGAGATGGAAGAAGGAAGAGCAAACAAGAGAACTGACATGAGAATCCAGGGTGAGAGCTGGGTCAAAGGTCACGCCAAAGAACCAAAGTGAGGACATTTCGCTAGTCCTTACAATGTGAAGCCCATTTTCTATTTCTCTGACTGCGTTGACGGAGACATGCAGTGCGATTATGTGTCGATACAAGAGCCCTTCGACGTGTTCGCAGGGGAAGATGGAGATGTGCCCCGATTTTTAACTATTCGTCGAAAGAGACTGGGAATGCAAGCTTGTGATTGGTCAGGATGCTTCTTCGTGTAAATTCGTCAACAGCACAGATTTTGCCGCTTCAAAAAATAAAGAGATATTTAGCAGCAGACATGGAACAGATTGAAGAGTGCATTGCAGAAAAAGTGGCAGAATATGAACGTTTATTCACCCGTACAAAGATATCACGAGTACAAAGATATGAAATGAGTTTTCTCATTTGGTCATTTGGAAAGGGGCTCGGTGTAGATCCGCTGCTCCTCCACATCGAGAGGATCCAGTTGAGGTTGCTCACGCGTCTGTTTAGGATTCCTCCTGGACACCTCCTTGGTGAGGTTTTGGGCACGTGCAACTGGGAGAAGACCTAAAGGAATATCCAGGACACTTTGGAGGGACCATAGGCAGTTTCCAATTATTTGGGCCAGCACAGACCGGGCTGGGTGTCGTCGGTCTGGCTCCCGCACCGGTAGGCTTTGTTCACACACATTTTTCAGGTACTGGAAAATCTCCGAGCATGTGGGTGGGAAAAAAAGGATACGCAAAAAAGTCTGTGGTGTCTCCCTTAAACAAAAACGGCCGTGTGTGTGTGTGTGTGTGTGTGTGTGTGTGTGTGTGTGTGTGTGTGTGTGTGTGTGTGTGTGTGTGTGTGTGTGTGTGTGAGCGCTCCTCACAGCAGTGAGAAGAGACAGATAGCTGCTGCAACTTCAGTCAGGGGCAACGTTAATGTCTCAGCATCCAGAATGATAATGAATCGCGCATGCAGGAAGCCCCTGCTGGTTGATTAAATCTGCCAGTCGGAGGTTCCCCCTAACAGTAGGCATATTTGAGCCAGCCAATCAGTTAGCAGTGAGTGTGTTGGCCCGGCCTGGCCCTGATCGGACCACCAGAGGGTAAGGGCCGAAAACCAACCCAGTAGGGTAGGGAAAAGTACCTGGCCAATCAGGTATGAAAACAATAAATGCAATGCAGGCTGGGCTGAACGGTACCAGATGTGAAACCCCTATATTTTACTCAGCTGGCCAGTGAACACCTTGGGATTCCCCTGGAGGAGCTAGCCCAAGTGGATGGGGAGAGGGAAGTCAGGGCCTCTCTGCGTAAGCTGCTGCCCCCGCGACCCAACCCTGGATAAGCAGATGAAAATGGATGGATGGATGGATGGATGGATGGAGATGACTTCTTCACAGATTTGTCAATGCTTGCCATGATGCTTCTTCATGTTGGTGATGTGCAGGAACTGGTGGAAAATGGCATTTCAACAGAACTTCAAAATAAAATTTTCTAAATAAAAGTGAGTGAAAGTTACCCTATCAATGTTTGTATTTTGGATCAATGACCAAATATACAATGTACATGTGAACCAGTGTATTGTTACACACCTAGTCGTTTCAATGGTGAATGTGTGCAGTGAAATAAAGCCAGCCTACACCACTATTTATAAAAAATCTAATCTGTTAGATTCACTCAATAAACAGAATGATGTTTAAATTATTTGCCAGCTACATGTTTATTTTTCTGTAAATGCATAATGACTCAGATGAATTAATTCTACTCTGTGGCAGATATTGGCTAAACCAGCTTTTAATTCAGCCTTGGGATAATGAAAGAACACTGATTTCACTCAAGTCCCTAAAAAGTTTCACTCCGAACCAGTTTAAATCTAACCTTTGCTGCTATGTATTTTAACACAGTTAATTGCTGCAGTTTGAAAACCATCCACGGCTATTTTATTGGAATCCATGGCTCTGGCCGCGTCAGCTAATAGTGACTTAAACACTCTTAGCTTTATGCCAGTGATCCTCCAGGGGCCAGCAGCCATTTTCCACCCATTACGTTTTGTAAGTCCTGCAGTCTTAGGCATAAAAGCAACTTTTCATGTTAATCTTTTCATAAGCTTGCTGTCACTTTAGGTCATTTTCTGCCCCCTGCCTACTCATGCATCTCATCATGTTGGAGACACTGGCGATATTACCTTCTCTGTGCTTATGGAATATCCTGACAGCAGTATTACAAATCATGCAATATTATTGTAGTTGTGCTGGTTCCATAAAAGCCTGAGTAGGTAGATCAGGTTAGTAATCAATGGGCAGATTTCTCAAGTGTTTTGTTGTTTTTCTGTAAATCCGGAAAGCACAATCGAGTTTCTCTGCTTTACGTTCTCCAGGAGTTTTTTCACTCCATGTGAGGATTTTAAGTGACTATAAAATCCAGAACAACGTGAGAGGCTGGTGGATTTCTTAGTCACGAGTGCACAATGGCATGTAGATATGTCAAAACAACAAAACTGATGGCTGCAAATGACTTAAAATATGTTTCACAAATAAAATGTTTGCAGGATTTTCTGTGTAAACATGATATATCATGAAGGCCTGTGTGACAGGCTCATATCTTTATTAATGTTGTTTTTCTTTGCTTTCAGGTTAAAATTGCCACCCGGAAAATTGCGCAAGCATTTGAAATTTCAGGACCCTTCAACACTCAGTTTCTGGTTAAAGGCAATGATGTCATGGTAAGTGCCATATTCCCAGCGACAGATTGACGATTTTCACATCAAGCTGCAGGGAATTCAGTTCACTCACAAACTGAACTCATTTCATGTCGGGAATGATTTGTGAAGCTGGATTGATTTTATAACCAGTAATGCTTTCATTTAGGATATTTCAGTTATAGAGATTCTATCTAAAATACATATGATTGCCTTACTCGGGACTCAAGTTCATGCTTGTCGACTAATAACATCTGAACTGCACACATTAAAGTATTTTTCTGTGTAAAAGTTTAAAAGATTTACTACCCTTCCCCTCAGTTTGAAAAAATAGAGCTTCAGGATGGATGAGCTAACGGGCTAGTCTGACCGGTGCCAAGACCAAAGAAATTCACTGCAATGTTAAAGCAACATTAAACAACTTTTCCCGCTCTTCCCTCTTGGTGATTGAAAGTGGAATTACTGCTGTAAACAGCTCAGCCACAGCATGCTATAGCTAGCGCCAAAAATTAGCTAACACGGACACGGGCAAACTGATACTAAAAGAGCCACAAAGTAAAATGATCCACGCCGTTTGACAAAAAATATAGTACTTACTAGTTTTAGTACTAACAAGAAAGATGAAAGAAAGATGGTTTCTAAACTCACTTGAGAATTGCTAAAATTTTCCTTTGTAACGGAATGAAATGACTGTTTTCCACCTAAAAGTCATTTCCCCCCTCTCCTCTGCAATAACTAATCTGCATGAGTTATTGCCTCAAGGTCTCATGCATTTGTCCTAAACTGTTTTCCTTTCCAACCGATGTGGAATGAAGTGATTGGTTGGAAGAATGAAGACAAAGGACTCTTCCTTTTTAATAAATCAAAGAACTCTATTTTTAATAAGCTAATCAAACAAAGTGGTAGTCAACAATAAAATGTGAACCAATTTGTGAAATCAAAAAATTAATTACTTTATTATAATCCTATAGAATATAATAAGTAATTTGACTTTAAATGTTTCCACTAGGGACTGATCTCAAGTAGCGTTAAGACATGACACATTGCTTTCACTGATCCAATCAGAATCTGCCAGATCTGACGGAGGCGTGGTTTTGGTGGTGTTTGGTAAATCTGTCACCTTTTCATTCGACCATAAACCAAAACATCCGAAGTATAAAACTATGCCCACGTCATCTTTAACGCCAGTTCAAAGCGTTCTAGAGAAGTTGACGGAGTGGCCAATCCGTAACTCTCCTCTTCAGCCAAAAGAACCAACGACAAGCTGGATAAAATCTGTTGCCGTTCCACCTGCTGCAACGGTTCCTTTCAGAATAACAGCTGAACCATCACAACCCCGTTTTGGGTCTTGTTAGATGCCGATAAACTGTCGTGACCCGGAAGTATCTCAAAGACTGGACTGGTCGGCTGCCGCGGCTGTTCTACGAGCTTCGGCTCCAGAAAGGTCCAAGCTGGACCTCTACACCTCCTGATCTAGACGGGGACTTCCGCCAAGGGTGCGTAGACTGACAGAATGGCGCCTTGTGCGTTTCTGAATCTCCGAATTAAAGCTTAGCGCGAAGACGGCACCTTCACTCCCATCAGAACTAATTGTTTCTTTGGATTTGCTGGTTCTGAACAACATTCCACACTACGCCATTCTCTGTCTCACTTCACCTTAGTTACACCATACATTTAGTGTTTAAAGGTAGTCTAGTTTTAATTTGTTTAGTAATAAATCTTTAAACTTTTAAAACTTGACTCTCTCTTCTGTTGTCTCTGAGTTAATACGAAGTTGTTACATAATCCCTGCAATAAAAAGTTCCAATCTTCTGTTTAAAAAGTACCCAAAGATCCACAAGGTTGATTCCATAATTTCTATGGAATCTCATGTCTCATGGTTCATTAAATAACATGTAAATTAACCCTTTACACCTTCAACTAAACATAAATTCACTGTTATCTGAAAGAAGCCTTTTCTTTGTTGTAATGAAACGTATGTGTGGTATGCACCCTGTAGGTGATAGAGTGTAATCTACGGGCATCACGATCCTTCCCATTTGTGTCGAAAACGATTGGTGTGGACTTTATCAGTGTTGCAACCAAAGTGATGGTGGGCGAGCCTTTGGATGAGTCCAGCCTTCCTTCACTGGAGAAGCCATTTATTCCTATAGATTACGTTGGAATTAAGGTAAGAAAACATGCAATGGAACCATAAGGGGTTTATACAGGGTTTTAACTAGACACAGGCTTCAGGTCTAAGGCCAAGTCTATTTTGCTGTTGCCCCCAAATGTCCTGAAACAGCTCTGGGTTTTGAAGATCATCTGAATTGCATAAAATATGAAAAATCCACAATCCATAAAATAAACAATCAATAATGAACACAAGTCTGCTTCTAGACCTGCAGAAAGAGAAAAACAAACCAAAAAAAGGGGGGGGGGGGGGGGGGGGGGCAACAACACAACTAGAGCAAGCTATCACTGCTTTAACCTGATGAGGAAATAGGAAATCATCATCATCATCAACCTTTATTTATCAAGCACATTTAAACGGTGACAACGCAAACCAAAGTGCTGTATAAGACAATACATCACAAAAATAGATAAAACAAATAAAAACTATTAAAAAAAAACAGGAAAGCACAAGGGTTAAACTATCTCAGCCGGGGAGGCCAGGGAATAGAAATACGTCTTCAAACGTACTTTAAAAGTGGGAAGGGAGGGGGAAAGTCGGACCGTCAGGGGGAGTTGGTTTCAAAGTTTAGGCCCACAAACTGAAAAAGCCCGTTCGCCACGGGCCATATAGCGGGCAGGAGGGACAAGCAGAAGGTGCTGGTCAGAGGACCTCAGGGTATGCGCGGGAACCTTGGGACTCAAAAGATGTGCCAAATAAGAGGGGGCGATTTCATGAATAGATTTGTAAACCAACAGAATTTTGAACTTAATCCGAAACCAAACTGGAAGCCAGTGTAAATTTGCCAAAACAGGGGTGATATGCTGCCGTCGGTCTATGCCCGTAAGAAACCTTGCGGCAGCATTCTGTACCAATTGGAGGTGCACCACTGAAGAGGAGGGAATACCATATAAAAGAGAATTGGCATAGTCCAGACGTGACGTTACAAAGGCATGAACAACTGACTGAAGAAGATATTTTTTGTTCAGGACAAATTTTAGTTTGGCCAGCCGGCCAAGATGAAAGAAACACGACCTGACTACCTGATTTACAGCGTTGGGCAAGTTACTTCAAAACTGTAATGCATTATTTATTACTTGTAACCTTCATTTTAAAGTAATTCATTACATTACAATATTACTGATTTCAAAATGTAAAGCATTACACTACTTTTGCATTACTTTAAGTTACTTTCACCAATACAACTTCAATATGAATCTGATAATCTGACACTCAGTGAGCTCATGACATATTTGTGGAAGGTGATGTGGTGTCTGAGCTAGGATTGCTGGAAAAAACAGTCAGATATAATAACAGTGCTTTAAAATGATTGTTTATAAAGCAACAACAAACTGTACTCTCAGCATGCTGCCATCTTATATTAACTGAGCAGGGAGTGAGGTGGTGGGGGCTCCAAGCCTATATTTGCCTTGGTCCCCAAATGCCTTGATACGGCCCTGGATGTAGGACTGACTTCTGGGGTGATCTGATTCTATCACATGTATAAATATTAAATGCTTATATATTATTGCTTTTCACTGGTAAAAATGTGTATTGGGGATAAATCTACCTACTTTTTTCTTTTCAAGCACTTTGTTTTGTTTTGTTGATTTTATTTGAATAATTTCCTGCCCTTTCTCTCGCTAACCTTCCTTCATGCTGCATGTTTTCTCCGTCTTCCAGAAAAATGGTTTCCTAGATTTCCTACTTTCTAACGATCAGCCAAAGGGATCTACCGAACGCAAAAAAACTTAATATGCTCCAGCAGCAATGAGTTGAAATCACCGGGGCACAGATTATGAACGCAGCTGAAAAGTACGTGAAGAATATGGGCTGATATAAACGATCGCAAACTAATTACTTTGTTTTGGTGGAGCGGTTTTGTGAATATAATAGCGGCCACGCGCAGGACGCAGCTGGAGTATTTGAGCCATTACCGCTGCGTCCTCTTGCTCATAGAATGCCCGCAAAGCTGAGTTCATAAATGACGTCATATATGTGGATACTGGATCTTTTTTCAGGCTTCCCATAATTAGAATTTTTAGGAAACCCACACCTTGATTCTGGGTTTAAAAATGCATCGTAATTACCGTGTTACTGACAATTGTACCAAGTAAATATTACCATTTTCTTTCCCTGTAATGCCTTACATTACCGCATTACAGCAAAAAGCAATGCATTACAGTAATTAATTACTTTTGTACCATGTTACTCCCAACACTGCTGATTTATCTGTGCATCCATTTAAAAAAAAGCATCCAGAGTGACCCCCAAATTTGTAATTGTCGGCTTCACCAAAACTGACAATGAAGGGGGCAGAGACGGCTCCACAGCCAAGGGGGAGCAGGGGGCAAAGAAAATAGCCTCCAGTTTGGAGCTGTTAAGATGGAGAAAATTAGCCGAGGCCCAGGACCTGACTTCACTCAGGCAGTCAGTTGTTGCACAGGTCAGCAGATTTTAGGGCCACATAAAGCTGACAATCGTCAGAGTAGAGATGAAAATTTACCCGGAATTTTCTAAAAATGGCTGCCAAAGGTAAAATACATAGATTAAAAAGAAGCGGGCCTAAAACGGACCCCTGGGGAACCCCACAAAAAAGAGGTGCCACTCTAGAGGCGCAATTCCCCAGGGCAACATTAAAACATCTGCCATTGAAATTGGAGCGAAACCACTCTAAAGCTGTTCCACAAATGCCAATTAACTGCTCCAGTCGCTTTAATAGGATTGCGTGGTCGACAGTGTCAAAAGCAGCAGATAAGTCTAAAAACACCAACAACACTTTTGAGAACCAGAATCAGAGGCAAGCAAAATATCGTTAAAAACATGAATAAGAGCAGTCTCAGTGCTGTGCTGAGGACGAAAACCAGACATAAAAATATCTAAAACATTGTTGGATTCAAGAAAATTAAAAATCTGGATAAAAACCATCTTCTCCAACGATTTGGAGAGGAAAGAGAGCTTAGATATAGGGCGGTAATTACTCAAATCGTTAGTCCAAGCCTGGCTTTTTTAGAACAGGCTGGACCACCGCATGCTTAAACTCCTGGGGAACAATCCTCGTCTTAAGGCTTGCATTAAGGATCTCCAGAATCGGTTGAGCAATTACTGGGAAGACATCCTTCAGGAAGCGAGGGGACATAAAATCACAAGGAGAGCCAGAGGGCGTCATAGCAGCCACTGTCTTCCATAGGGAGGAAGAAGAGACGGGGGAAAAACACTCAAAGGAATATAATGGAGAACAAACAGGGGCTTCTGAGTGAGAGGGAAGAAGAATCTGAGCCCTAAATGTGGCAACTTTAGAGATAAAAAAATGCAAAAATTGGGTGCACCTTTCCTCAGAGGAACGTTGGGTGACAAAACTGCATTAACAGTGGAGTAGAGGATTCGCTGGTTACCCGAATATTCGGTAACAATAGCAGCAAAATAGTCAAAACGGGCCTTCCGAACGACGCGTTGGTAACTCCTCCAGGCCTCATGGAGAAGATGAAAGGAAGCTGGAGATTTAAACTTTTTCCACCGCCGCTCACATCTCCTACATTCCCGTCTAGCAGTATGGGTATGAAGGTTGAGCCAAGGGTCAGAACGACAGCGGGAACGTCGGGATCTTAGAGGGGCAATCTGATCGAGCATGGAAGTGCAAGAGGCAGAAAATAAGGATAGGAGGATCTCAGGATCAGAAGAATCCTCAAATGAAAACAAAAAATCTGAAAATAAAGCAGAAAACTCAACAATTGAGGAAGGGGAAATGCGGCGAGCATGGCAAATCCCCACCTACCTAGGAGAGACAGGCCGGGCCACATCCACAGAACACAAAACAGGAACATGATCAGACAGAGAACAAACATCAGGTCTGACCTCTGTTACATTAACACCAAAAGAAAAAACTAAATCCAATATGTGAGACATATTTTACTGAACAATCACACAATAGTAAATCACAGTGCATTAAGTGCCAACCACAGCCTTAAGACGTGTTGAAAATGCCCACGTCCATACTTATGAGAGCACCATGTGAGCTCCTGTGTGCGTACCCACGCTTGTATATGTAAGGTTTCTCTATAGAAGTGTCCAATAGAGAATGTGAGAGGCTACAGATCTGCCCCCCAAAGATGTGTAGGAGATGGAGGGAGCTCCAAGCCCCAGAGATCCAGGAGCTGCCCCAGAGCAAGGGACCCCAGGGAGACTGTAACCAGAAAAGCCCCAGCCCCCTCTCGAGAGGCACAGAGGATTGCCCCGGGGGGCCACAACCAGCAGCCGGCAGAGTCCCAAGAGATATCAGCGGCAAGACCATAGGCCCGCCCGCAGCCTCCCACCCCCAAGCCAGCCAGTCCTGTTGTTTTCTTGTTTTTTAACTGCTTTTAACTCAATCATCCAGAAAAACTGCTTCCTGACATTGCTAGTCTTTCACCCCATGAGATACTTTTGAGCCAAGTAGTTCAAAGGGATCTACTGACCACAAAAATAGCAGAGTGCACGATTGCAGCAGTGAGGTGAAATCACCAGAGCACAGGTTTTGAGCTCTGCTGCAGCAGGGCTCATCAAATACATATAACAGTCAGAAAGTACCAGAGAATATGAGTGGACACGAACAATCAGGTGTTAATCATATTCTTTTGATTGCACGACTATGAGAATGTTACTGTGGCCATGTGCAGGATGCAGCTACCTGGAGTGCATGAACAATTTTGCTCAAAAGAACTCCAGGTACACTGATGTACCATATAAATAATGTAATATAGTTTGAAACTAGTTAACTTTTTGCCTATGCAGTATTGGCTTGCCTTTAGCACCCCATAGTGTTCGTTATTAATTCACTGTTCATCTACTCGCTGTGCGTTCGTCTTCTTCACACCTTATTCTAACAACTGATATGTCTCCCCAGCCTTCATTAGTTACTACAGGGGTGATTCATCACTAAATCAAACAAATCAACTGCGTTTGTGATCTAAACCATGCAGGGAACATGCTGGAAGCAGAATGCAGTGCTGGCATGCCAGCTCCATTTTACTATACTAGGA